AAACAGAAGTAGCAACAAAAACAGGAGCAGCAACAAAAACAGAAGTAGCAACAAAAACAGAAGGAGAAGCAGAAGCAGCAACAAAAACAGAAGTAGCAACAAAAACAGAAGTAGCAACAAAAACAGAAGTAGCAACAAAAACAGAAGTAGCAACAAAAACAGAAGTAGCAACAAAAACAGAAGCAGCAACAAAAACAGAAGTAGCAACAAAAACAGAAGCAGCAACAAAAACAGAAGTAGCAACAAAAACAGAAGTAGCAACAAAACAGAAGTAGAAGCAGAAGCAGCAACAAAAACAGCAGTAGAGCCAGAAGCAGCAACAAAAACAGAAGCAGAAGCAGCAACAAAAGTAGAAGCAGCAACAAAAACAAAAGTAGAAGCAGCAACAAAAACAGCTCGAGCGCAGGATATGAATGCTCTTACAGGTAGCCTTCGTGAAACTTCCCCACTACCAAAGACACGCTAGAGCCGCCACTGCTTGCGCTGCTGGCGACTTTCGCAGTCAGCTGCTGCTCAAACTGCAGCTTCACTCCCCATCCTGACGGCTTGTCAGCTGCCCAAGAGCCTCCACGAAGCAGCAGCAGCCGCCTCGCAGCTAGCCGCTGCTCCTCCTGCTGCACGTGCTCCTGCAGATCGATGCCAATGCCACTGCGCAGGCTGGCTACCCACTGACCACCAAACGCATGCCACTGCAGCGCAGGCTGCACTTCGCCTCCGACTTTTCTGCTTCTTGCTGCCGTCGTTAGACTCTTTCCTGACCACGCTGCAGCAGCAGCAGCTGCATCGGCTGTTGCTATGAGGGCAGCAGTCTCAGCGGCAGCCTCTTCCCTCCAGTCGCTGCTGCCGTCCTCTGTCTTGCAAGCCTCGCAGCTCCCCTGCGTGCTGCTGCACTGCGCAGCCGCAGCGCGCGCGCACATCTTTTCCTCTTCATTGCTGCTGCTGCTGCTGCTGTTGCTGCTGCTGCTGTTCCCGCTGGTGCTGTTGCCGCTGGTGCCGCGAAGGCGCTTGCAGAGGCGTGAGGAATAATAGCCAACTCCGTGTCGAATCAGAAGCCCCCGCTGATTGATGTGTTGTCGTTTCTCGTGTTGAGATAGCATCGGAGCTGCACTGGCAACCGCCGAAAGACGAGCAGCAGCAGCAACAGCATCTACAGCTAAACTCGCTGTAGATGCTGCTGCTGGAGCTGCAGCAAGCTGGAAGATGTCGTCGGAGAAGCTTTGAGGTGGCGCACGCTCCGAGGAGCTGTGGCTGCTGCTGCTGCTGCTGCCGTCGTCGCCGTTGCTGCTGCTTTTGCTGCTGCAGCCTGGAGGCAGCAGCAGCAAGCAGCCGCCTCTGTAGACTCCTCCATCTTCGTACTTCACCTGTAGCGCATGCAGTTCGAGGTTATCCGCAACTGGAGCAGACGGGTTCACGGCGCTATCAACAGCAGGAATCAGCAAACAGCGGCAAGAGACATTTGCGGTGAGAAGCTCACTTGGGAAAGACAGCGAAAAGGGGAGAAAGCCTTCGAGAGGCTGTTTGCCCTGTCGATGACGCGCGTGCCGCTGTCACTGCTGGTGGGTGTATCTATGGAAGGCCTCTCGCCCACACTACCACCACGATCACCACCCCCAGTGGTGATCGTGGTGGTAGTGGCAGGAGTTGTTTTCAGGGGAGCACCGGCCTCACTGCTCCCTCGCCGGATACTGCCACGACTGCTGCCGTTCTCGCAGCCTGCTGCAGTACCCCAGCAAGCAGTTCGGTGCTGACGGCTCCGCTGCTCGTCAGCATCCTCCGCCTCCTCCTCCTCGCCTTTCTTCCCCCCTTCGCCACAGCTACTTTCAAGCACACCGCATGCGTCAAAGTCTGGAGGCCTCTGCGGTGTCTCTGCCATCTTCCTCGCAGTCCTAGGTGCAGCAGCACTGCCACAGGCAGAGTTGCGTGGGCAAGCAGCAGCAGCAGCAGCAGCAGCAGCAGCAGCAGCAGCGGCTTACTTATTATTCAGCTGCGGCCTGCTGCGGCGCATATTCCCATCGTCAGGCACAATACCACCCGGGATGCATGCTGCCAGAGCTGTTCCCCGCAGCTGCTAGTGCATGTTGGCAAAACGCAGTCTTTCGATGATGCACAGCACACGAACCAGCAACAAGGCGTGGTCAGGACCCCCTGAAGTGGCGAAGCTCTGACTGTATATCGGCAAAGAAAACGTTTCTCCCGTCAACAATCGTGGCTCTCGATGCTTCTGACGCCGTTCTTCTACAGGCTGGCTGGTGCGCGTGGCAGGCGTGCCCTTGCAAGCAAAGGGTCTTCCGCAACACCCCAAGCCGCACGAGGCGGCTTCGAAGCTTCTGAGGCTATGCCGTTATATGTCCACACAAAGCAAGCAAAAAGTACATGCGACTCAAACAGACATCGAGTATTGAGCATCTTGCGAGTCGCTTCCACGAATACGGCAGGAAGGTGGCAGGGGGGGCCCCCTGACCCTCGGCAGGGTCTGGCTGCTCCCCTCCCGCCTCCGCCAAAAAAAGATCCGTATTTCAACACGTTATGGTTTCACACATTTTGAGTGCTGACGCAGTGTTTCGCGTCGAAAGTAGCTGCGTCTCGCGATTTGCCACGTGATCTGCGCCAGTGCGCGTGGATGGTTTTCCCGCTGACGCCTGAGGTAGCGGGCAGTTCACAGGTTCAATAGCAGCCCGTGGTGTCGCAGCTCTCTACAGAAACGCCCCTCTTCAACTGGAAACACCGCGGGAGGCGTTTCCTCCTGCACCCATCTCATCGTCTCTTTTTGCGAGTCCTCTTTGGCCCCGGCTTGCAAGCAAGAACGGGTGGTGGCTCAGCGAGACGCAGGTATTCGGGCACAAAAAAAATGCTTCCCTGCAGCTGCTTTTTTTACAATGTCTTTTTGTCGCTAGTAGCCCTTGGCTTCCCGACTGCGTGCGTGGATTGCCAAGAATTTTCCGGTCAGGACGGCCCGCTACATTAAAACGGCTGCTGACTCAGTTAACCTTCTCCAGCAGCGAGGCTCCGCTTGTAGAGAGCAAAGCCTCTTATGCATCCAACAGCATGTTCTGGGCGGCAGTACAGTGAGAGGCGAATGTAGATCGTAGGGGTATTACCTTGGGCCTTTTAGATTGCGGCTGTTGCATCTTCCCATCTAAGGTATTCTTGGAGTAATGCTTAGATCTAGAATGAAACAAGTTTACTAGAACGGCATTCAGAGGCTCCCCAAAAGGCTTTCCTGGCTTCTCCTCCTCGGGTTCAATAGAGTTCCGAACATGAGGAGGAAGGGTAAGCTAGGGTGTGCCTAGCCGCACCCTGGCTATACGAAAATTGTGCAGAACCACTTGCACGTAGCCCCTAGCGCATACGCACACAGCAGCGCATCATCGAATTCAGTTAAAAGACTTCCCTGCAATAAATAATCTATACGATATAACAAACCAGTTAGTCAACTGTTCACTAGAATTAAGCTAGATGTACCTACTGTGGAAGAGGGTGCCAGAGTATAGCTTTGCTTGCTACGGTGTTCACACCGGTTGCATACGGCTCGCCCTCACACTACACTCGTTTTATTGTCCGACGAAGTGTTAAAGTGCAATTAAATTGAAAGTGTGCCTCTCCGCCACCGCATTGCCGCTCTACTGAGGACGGTTGTAGGAACGCCTACGTGGCACTCTCCCGCCAAACGGTAGGCAGAAAGTCTGCAATCCTGCTGTAGCAAAGTTTTATGCCACAGCATAGCCAAAGATATCACAGCCGAGTAATACGGGTTTGCTTCATGTGACTGCTATCGCATTTTAAGGACCTATTTACGCTACAGTGGACCTAGGCTGCTCAGTGTCCTACCAGCACTGCACACGGCAGTCCGAGATTCACATATGACTCACGTCACGGATGTTTGGAGCCAAAAGAAATATATGGATGCAACAGTTTAAAAAGGTAATGACGTCTCGCCTGGACGTCAGCCGACGAGACGCTACTATGTTGAGTGTGCAGAGGCGAAACAGCAGCTCCACTAGCGTCGGCGCAGAAGTGGGCTGGCTTGCGCGGGCTCTGCCGTGTGCAGTGTTTCCCTTTCCTTGAAAATACTGCATTTATAGTATTTGTGGCAGAATAATGGCTGCCTAACTGTGTCTCGCCGATGGCCCTCTGATTGAGTTGCCCTCTTCCGAACTGTAGATTCAGAAACCTTCGGTATCGGGCCCGTTCGGACTCTTTTATTAGTCATCCCTGACACCATCTTCAGCCTTCCACAATCTTTGGGAGATTGACATAATGAAGAAACGGTTCGACGGCCAGGTGGCCGTTATCACAGGTCAGTTGCTACTTGTGCCCTTGAGCACCCAGTTCTTCCACAAACTCGTGCGTATTCCTTTCCGCAGTCTTGTCTTCTGCTATGAAATCAAGAAAAAGACTCGAATGAATGATTCCATTCATGAAGCGCTTTCCACAACAGGGCTCCAAGTCGATGGGCAACGAGCGCATGATGGAGGCTGTTGCGTGTCGGAAACTGGCGGGTTCTCCCTCTCGTGATGTTTCCATCCACAGTTTGGTGAATGTATGCCCGTGCACATGTCTCGGTCATGCAGGAGCTGGCTGGATATACCTCTCTGCACACGTATGGCACCGAAGCGCTCGAGCGCTTGCGTTCAGGTGCACGACATCGGATGCGCTGTGCGTGCAGGCTCCGGGGGCGGCCTCGGGCGAGCATATGCCCTTGCATTTGCCGCGAGGGGAGCAAAAGTGGTCGTCAATGATCTGGGTGTTGCGCTCGCGGGAGATGTAGGAACACCAGAACGTGAGTTCAGCTTTCTTCTGAATAATAGTGCACGCATGGCGCTTTGAAGGTTGGCAGGATCCGTACCTATGGTGGAACAGGCAAACGAGCACGCGCCGCGACCCTCAGAATTATACAAGAGAAAGTGCCGTGCAACGGAAAAAACGTCAGCTTGGTTATTATTCAGCGCCGTCTGACAGCACACCCGATCTCGTACAATCAGGAACCCGCCAGGACTGCTTGACCCCAAGAGTTCATCTGCACTGTTTCGTGTAGCTGCAGCTGGAGCTACCTGTGTGTCTGTGTTTCCACCAACCGGCGTAGTCCACGTTCACGCATCATTCGGCATTTCTCATGTTGTATCTTTTGTTCGTATGTGCCGTGGGATCCCCCCCCGTGCTTTCGCAAATGCCAACAATCTGCGAAAACTCCCCTGCAGCTAATATCTTATTGACGAATTTCCTGTGTCCTTCTACTGCATGAGATTCCACTCCCTCCGCGTGCCTTCTGGCCACCGCTATGGGCCCCTCACTCCCTGTACTTACCACCCGCCCACCTTGGTGTTTCAAACGCTTCCCCCAATCATCTTGCACCTGCGTGGACTGCCTTTGACTGTGGCCCTATATACGGGGCTATTTTAGGGCTTTAGCTGTTGAGACTAGCGACGTTTCCTTCCACCCGGTCGATGATCTTTTTCTTTTAGAAGCGCTTCTGGGCAGCATGCGGCGTTTGCAAGGTGCCCTTTCACGCGCAGCCTGCCAAACGTGCACCATTCTATTGCACAAGCACATTCTTTCTTCTCTCTGCCTATGTACAGGCATTCGCCCTGCAGATGCGGTGGTTGCCGAAATTCGCAAAGCTGGAGGCGAGGCCGTTGCAAACTATGATGACGTTCTGAGTGGCTCCCGCATCGTCGAGGTGGCGATCAAAACGTGGGGGAGAATAGACATCCTCGTCAATAATGCAGGCATCCTGCGAGATTCCTCATTTGCAAAAATGAGCGAACGCGACTGGGATCAAGTTATGCAGGTCCGCCTTGGAGAATACCTATTTTTCTGCGTACTGCTCGTGCAGCATGTATATATACACACATAAATGTGGCTCTATGCCTTGGGAACGGACAGTTTTCTTGCTTTCCACGTCGCATGCCTAATCAGACACCAATAGTAGCTAAGCCCCAAGAATCGGACGACAAAGCACATCCGTTTGTACAGCTGTCTGCCTTAAGCTGTCGCGTGGGCGCGTGCCGTTCAGCCTTCTCTAGGCAGTGTCATGGTGCACTTGCTTTCCAGGCTTTTGTTCCGGTGCGCTGCGGTGTTGCTTTGTTCAGATCCACGTGAAAGGCGCCTATCTATGTACAAAAGCCGCATGGCCCCATATGGTGAAGCAGGGTTACGGCCGGATCGTCAATACAGCAAGCGCATCAGGCCTCTATGGAAACTTTGGCCAGGTGCGATTCTTGGCATCCTCGGATCCGATCGTCGCGTGGTCTGTGTGCAGGAGTAGTGCTCCGTGGTCGCTTGCCACATGGCGATTTCAGAAGTTTCGGGTGTACGACTAGCTGGCTCGCACCTTCCTCTTTGGAAACTTTTGCTGGGTGCAGGCAAACTATGGTGCCGCGAAGATGGCGCTCGTCGGCATGACCAGAACTCTGGCAAAGGAAGGTGCCAAGTACAACATCCATGTAAATTGCATTGCACCACTTGCAGGTCAGATGCTGGGACCTGGCTCTGAACTGACATAGCAATGCGCGTATGGGTGCCTTGGTGCTGCCCCTAGCAGGGATATGTGAAATCCATCAAAAGTGCAGAAACTGCGCGAAGTTTTTACCAAGAGGCCAATATTCATGGCTGCACTAGACACAGCCAAAAGGGAAGCATTTGTGCCCGTGATTGCAACGTTCGCCCCCAGGGACGCGCATGACCGAGAAAATTCTGCCGCCTTCAGCACTTGAGGCCCTCAAGCCTGAATGCGTCGCCCCCGTTGTGCTTTTCCTTGCCTCAAGGGAGTGCACGGAGTCTGGGCAGGTGCGTTTGCTGTGCTCAACTCATGAGCTTTCCAGCGATTCGAAAATGGAGCAACCGGCGATGGTCTGCGCGCTGACGTGCCTATTGGTGCAAGGCTGCATTTTTTTCAGATTTTCGAGGTGGGAGCGGGCTGGGTGGCCGCTGTTCGCTGGCAGAGGAGTCCAGGCAAGGTCTTTCCATCTTCCTACACGCTTGAAGATTTGACGCGAGAGTGGCAGCAGGTTGTGGACTTTAGAAGTGACGTATCCTATCCAACGTCTCTCCAAGACTCGCTTGTGATGGTATGCGCCTACTGTCGCTGCTGTCCAGTCACTAAGTCGGCACTTTTGGTCATTACATCAGAGCGTTCCGGATACTTTCATGACCAATTCAATTGAGAGACGTTTGCATTGCATTTTTGTGCGTTGCCTGGCACTGAAGGCCTCCCAACAAATGTCAACTGAAATGCGCCAGCAGCCAGCAGAACCGAAGAAGCCGAGTGACACTCCTGCGGATGCAGCTCCCGGAACAAAGTCTGCAAAGATCTTTCGCATGATCGCGGCGTACTTGGAACGCGCCACGGATGCCGCATCCAAGTTGAAGAGCAAGGTGAACAGCTGTTTCCACTTTGAAATCTCTCCGAAGCAGGGGCAGCCCCCGACTCTCAAGTGGACCATCGACCTCCGCGCGGAGAGCGGTAAGAGGCGGCTTTTGAATGCGATTCAAGAAGACCTATTCTTCTCATCCGCGTTGCTGCCTGCACTGCAGGCAGCCGCCAGCCGCTGGCAAGCGTCTGGGAAGGCTCCACAACGCACTTAGCGCTTAGCTGGTGTCGCTCTGCTGTGCGTCCAGGGGGAAAGGCCATGGAAGGCCATCACGGCACCGCAGACGCAACGTTCATCATGGCGGATGAGGTGTTTGCACTTATCTGTCTGGGCCGGCTCAATCCGCAAGTTGCATTTTTGCAAGGCAAGATGAAGATCCGTGGAAGTATGGGCAAAGCGACTAAATTTACTCCCGATCTCTTTCCCTCCATATCCGCTGAGATGCTCTCTTTAGACGCATCGCAGGCAGTTGAGCACTTCCTGAAAAGCGTAGCACCACCAGCACCGGAGACAACCGACTCGGCTGGGGAGCTGAGCCCGGAAGCAATGAAACTGCAGAGCGCCAAACTCTTTCCATACATGAAGGATCATCTCAAATCGCAGGCAGGATCAAATCTAGTCAAGCAGGTCCGTCTTCCATGTAGTGATCCCGAAAAACCAGCTCTGCCAAACAAGCGTAGGCGACCCTTCGCAAATCATGCACCACGGTGTCGCTTTCTTCACTGCCCTTATCGTTGAACCTGAAATTCTTTGATTTCTCCAGGTCGGCTGCGTGTATCGCGTGGACCTTATTCCAACCACCGGCGGAGCCCCCTGCACGCTGTACATCAACCTGAAGCGAATGCCACCGACCGTTCGGGAGCTGCCCAACTCGACCACGGAGCCTTTCGATTGCTGCTTTACACTGAAGGATGACGTGTTTTTCAAGCTCGCAACCGGAAAGATGAACCCCCAAATGGCATACTTGCAGGGGAAAATGAAGATCAAAGGAAGCACCCAGGCAGCCATGAAGTTCACAAAGGATATGTTCCCCAAGATTTCCAAGCTGTAGATGTTTCTAAAGCTAAAAGCGGCCAGCGAGTCACCTTGCCGCATTATGCCTTTTCGGCCTATCTATGATTCGGCAGTGTACAGTACGCACCCCCACACCGAATGGTGGTGAACGGTTTTGTAGTTTCTGCAGTGAACTGCGCAGTCTTTGAATCGACACTTTGCAGCCGTTATTCGCCGTGGTGGCGCTTTGAATAACGAGGCTCTCTCGCGCCTGTGCCCTAACGCGAGGGGGGAGTATATGCCCCGAGCGAGAAGAACGCACTGTTCTGTACTGCGGTTTCTTTTCATCCGCTTCTCTCAAGTGCGCTTCACACTCTAAAGTGTGTGTATTCAGCTTTACTAGGGTGTCCACTGCCTCTCACATGCAGCTGCCTACAGTGCCCTTGTAGCTGTGCTCGTTTACGCAGATAGGGAATTGCTTGATGCCTCCCACAGGCGTCTTGTGAATAGTGCCACGCGTATCGCTCCCGCAACAAGACGTGAAATATTATGCAAGCCTCCGAAGAGAGCAGTCTGCGCAGTCGAGGAGCAAAAAAATCGCCCCGCCTCCCACTCACTGTCTCCAAAAGGAAGACAGATCCTCTCTCTAGGCTGCAAGTGCTTGTTTGCCTGTGCGCGAGGCGCTCCAGATGCCGCAGACTCGCACGTCTGCTCATTCCTCGTTCATCTTTAGCATGCCCTTCTTGCAGTACCGCTGGTTGCGCAGGAACTTAGGGCACATCTGCACAACGAAACACACACATTATCCCTCCACAGGGTCCGATCGATACCCCAAAACCTCATTACAGCCCACGCGCGCCATGCAGCCAATTGAAAGGAAACTTTATTCCTGCTCCCTTTACGCAGCTCGTATTCGAAGCCTTGACACAGACCAATGCAACAACACTGGAACCTGAACTGGATGAAACAAACGGGTTGGATGCGTCCATATATATCAGCCTGACGTGCAAAAGCCAACTTCCCCACGATGTACGTCGGGGCCACACAGAAGTGTGGAAGCGCTTTTGTGTCATCATCGCGAACGCCCAACAGCCACTATACAGCAAGCACAAAAGCAACAGTCCCCGTTAGCGCGTCAGCTGTACACAGTCATAGACAAAAACGGTTAGGCCAGGCACCGCTCCTCCCCTGCACCGTGCATACTCCTTTGGTGGAGGTCTTTCTCCTCTTGGGAGCCTTCTTGATCCCATTGCGATGGGCCTTTTTGTTCTGCAGCATCAACAGCACACACCAACTCGAAAACGTGCAGGAGCAGCGCGATCCTGAAGAGCGGCGGAGCGTGGCTGCCGACCCCGCTCGCCCCCTGCAGGCTCCATTTCCCCCGTAATGTCGAAACTGCAGTAGGCACTGAACGCAGCGATGCGGAGAGGCGCTGCACACGTGGGAAAACTGCGTCTCGCGCCTGGAACCGCCGTTTGCACGGCCCCGCCCCCTTGCGCATGCATGCATTGCGGGAGTTCGTGCCCTCTCCACCCCAGCGGTCACAACGAGCTTCCCCTTTGCAACGCAAAACGCGATACACCTCCAGAAAGAGCGCTACATCGGGGGGGCGCCAGCACTTGCTGTGCCGGCAGCCTCATGAGCAGCGGCGACTTCCCACTTGCCTGGTTATGGTTGGTGTGGTTTTTGGACTTGGCCATTTTCGCAGCGCTCTTGGGAGTCACAGAAACGCGAAGGCCTCAACAAAAGGCAAGATGGAAAATGGGTACAAGTGAACGTCGCCTTCTGAAAGGGTGTCGCTACTGGCTGCTGCGGGGTGTGGGGCGCAGCGCCTCCGCCTGCAAATCTGCCGAACAGAGGCCTCCTCCGCTTCCCACTGTCTGCCTTTCTCTCGGGTCAGAAAATACGCTTTTTGATTCAGACGCATACACGCAAAACGCTGCATACGCGCATGTAAAGACCTTTCTGAAGCTCTCACAAGTTTCCCAGCGCAGCGACCGCACCGCATTTTCATGCCGCCCACCGCGTGCAACGAGATCTTATTTTTTGTAGCAAGTGTGCAGAATAGCAAGATGCATCCCATCCATGTCAGATGCGGGTCTGTAGGAGTAGAATCAGTGTCTAGCAGCAGCAGCCAAATGCTCACACTTGCGACACCACCAGTCTAAAAATAGCGCCTTCCCTCTGTGCCCTAGTGTAGGGTGGTTTGCACCTCTGGCTCACGCTAAGGACAGTTGGTCAGAGCAGCACTTGGTAGCTTGGGCTATCTGAAACGCGGCAGGAAGCGAAGTAGGCCAGGCGAGAGGTTTTCACACCTTTAGGCTAATGGCTCTGAGGCTGCCAAACACACAGGGCCTTTCTCACCAACCCTGTACCCAATTCCAGGCACCACGAGCACTGCTCCCCATGAAAGAAAATCATTGCCGTGATGCGCGCTACTAGGCATACAATTTGCGCATGCACCGCTGCACAAACAGTGTGACGCCCCATCTAGTGTCTCCGTAGGGAGACGCCTAGTTCCAGCCTCAATACAAACTTACTACAAGCTCGCTGGGTGTATTCCTAGACAAGGCGCTCCTCCTGCTGCCACTCCCCCAAATTTCCTGACACGATGGAGAAGGGGCAGCTAACCTATGCGCTCCTGCACCCTCTATGCGCTTCTAGCATCCACATCTAGCTGCGCATAGCTTCTAACGCACATGCACATCATATTGCATCTTCGAATAGGGATCTAACGGTTCTGTGCAATAAATAATGTATACAAGCAGACAAATCCACTAGACTATGCTCTACTGATTCCTGTGAAATATCACTAGTGTAGTAGCAACTTCTGAAGTGTAGATTTTAGCCCGTTACACCTTCCGCCCCCATGCTTCAAACATACGCCCTCATGTTCTGTTCCTGTCCGTCAAGACCAAGTGCATGCATGTTGCCGGAAGAAAAAACTCCCTGTGTCGTCCTCCCAAGGCAGGCAGGAAAAGCAAAATATCGCAAACTAGAAAAGCGATAACGGACCTCAACTGCTCGCGGAAATCGATGTGAAGGAAGACACACACACTCGAGCCGACAACGAACGAGGAACCAACTAATGCGACTGCGATGGTGCGCTACTGTCGGAGCGCTGAAAGTCGTGAGCATCTTGCTATGATAAAACAGAAGACAAGTTAAATGTCTAAAGGAATTAAGGACACGCACCGGCCCAGTGGTGCGTCCTCGCATCATGGAGCATTCTCTGCATACAACAACAGAAGCTGCATGTAGCACAGGTGATTTCACTGCGCCAGAGAGGCACGAGGAAGATTGTTGTACAGGCACCTTCCCTGCGAGCGCCTGTGCATGAGTTTGACTTTAGGCAGCACAACGACAACAACCTGCAGCTTTTCAAGCTTTACCCATGAATAAGTGTAGCGTTTGCAAGCAGAGCATGCGCTGGGAAAGGAAAAATACCAAGGACAGCGAGGAATACAGTTCACAGGGGCTAGCGCTGCTAGCCAAATAGCACGCAGACTCCCCCACTGGCAACGAAACCCACAATCGATTCCTGCGGCAGCCATCGAGGTTTGCGTTTTCCACCCCATATTACTAGAAACTCCCATCTGCCGTGTCATCGCCCCTCAATAGTCTTATAATCCAGCACTTCTGGGGCACCTTGTGGATCTTTTACCTGCACACGAGTCATTTGCCTGCTGGGCGAACCGTGAATAATTTTGGAAGTCTCAAAACTTCTCTAGGAAGCCAATATTTTTTGTTCTCTGGCAGCCCAATTCTTTCGGCAAATCGATAGAGCAAGGAAAAGCATTGGTTCGCGAGAGGATGGTAATCGGTCCCACCCACCTAGCTGCAAACTTCTTCGTCTGGTTTGTGCCAAAGAAAAACAGATGACTGCATAGCCAAGCAGCTGTTTCGAGACCAAACAGCGGTTGTAGGCAAAGCTGGCATCCCACTGCATCCAAGCTAGTGACTGAGCGGGGGGCAGCTGTGGCGGACCATGCGATGATGCCAGCTGTAGCGCGCCATCTAGGGTTTCTACAGGGAAACAATTAACTCTGCATTTATATAGCCTAGTAGAAAGTCGTCATCGATTTTCAGAATAAACTTTCTGCTTCTCCTGCCTATGCGTCTTTGAGTTTTCACTCCTAGGTGGGAGCGACAGCTACGGTGCGCGTACCCTTAGCCTACGAGCTATTCGAGCATTCGCAGCGACTTGCCAGCCTTCGCGAAACAGGTAAAGCAGGGATGCGGCATGTTGCAACAAATATTTTTCAATAGACCCCTCCTGCCATCGCTGCTGCCACAGTGGGGGATTATGCATCTGATTGTGGTAAGATAGCTATTGCTAGGGTCGTGCCAAAGGCCACTGGCGTTGCTGGCCGCGTTCCAATTAGAATTACTGCTTCCGCCAGCGCAACGCGTGTGTCTCGTCCTACCCCCTCGTCAGAGTTTGGCCTATAAGGTTTTGTTGCAGCCATGAGCGGCTGCTTCCCCGGAAAAGCTTGGCGTCTAACGGTTGATGCCCCCACAGAATAGAGAAGTGCGGCAAGTGAAGCCTGGGCTGCTGCTGCTTGAACCTTGTGTGCGACTTTTGTACGCCTCAGATCTTAGGACCCTAAGCTGCTGCGGCACTTGTGGCTGAACCTGGAGGATTACTCCCGCTGCTGCAGCTCAGGACAAAACACCGTGAGGCCTGTGTCCACTGCAGAGGGAGGCTGAGCGTTCGCAGTAGCTGCTAACGCTACTGCTGCAACCGTCAGTGTCACTACCAAAACGCCAGTAGAGGAAGTGCAATGCAGGGGCAGCACCTGCGGTTACTGGCTAACAAGGGTCGTCCAAAGCCACTGTAGTTGCATCGTCAACGCAGTCTTTTGCCTCTTGATGCTTCAGCCCAGCCAGCAGCATTGAGAGCGGCAGGAGCGCTGCCACGAGCAGCAGCGACGGCGGCAGCCTGAGTATATCGGCTAATTTTGAATATTGTGTATCATTTGGAACGTTCATCTTTTCACTATCTCCGGGCAGCTAAGAAGGGGCTGGCCCCCTAATTGTCGTCCAGCAGGCTCGACCGTATGAAACGTGAAAGATGCTGCTGCTGTGGTTGAGTTCTCTTACACCAGTGGCCGTGCAGCAAAGCCTCAATAGTCCCTTCCGTGCAGAGTACGCCCATGTCAGGCCCTGCCCAGTCGGTGGTCTCACCTTGTAAGCGCAGACTAATAGCAGCAGTGGCGTTCGCAGTGATACAATCAACCGCAATATCGGCAGCAAAAGCAGCAGAGCCTCATAGTTTCCCCTTGCGTAGTTGCAGCGGCACCCCCCGCCCCCATTAGAAAGCTCAACGCGCGGCTGCTTCAGCAGCTGAGGTTTGTGCTAACCTTCTCGTTTGCGCACCACCCTAGTCAGCGGATCCAACTTTATCCACAGCGGCATTCCCAAACGTGATTAGCCCCCTTGCGGTCCAAACCACAGGACGTGCAGCAGCGGCTTTTAAGCCTTAAAATGCGAGTCGTCAGGTGCAGGGGTGGTACCACAGGAAAAGCACCTGAAACCAGCGCCCGAGAAAATACCGCTGCGTGGACTTTGCCGCGCCGAACCGCTGGATCATTGCAGTATGTGTGGGAAAAATCCATTCGCAGCAGCGTATTTTCTCAGGACTGGCAGCCATACATGAGGAGAGCAAATGGGTTGGAAGTCATGCATGCCCGTGGCATGCATGTCTTCCAACCCATTTGCTTCCAGGAGTCGTCCGAAGAAGCCGCTCGCCTTGATTTCCGAAATACCGCGTTTTGCATCATCACACTGCAGGAGAAACGGCATTACACTGCGCGCCGTGCAGCAGCAAAGGCGCAGTCACAAGTGCTTCATCCGCGGAAGCCTGCAGGTGACCTGTGTGTGCAGGCCCTCTGTCGGCAGCCACTTAGCCGTGGTTCTTTCTTCTGACAAGCGATAAAGTATTGCAATCTTCGTGTTATTTCTTTGTCTTTTCTTTCCACATACCTCTGAGTTTGGGAGAAGCCGCAGGCCCCTTTTCCCCCTTCCCCCCCCAACTCCCCGCCCAGTAGGGCCCCTTCCTGTTAGCCTCCTCTCTCCCTGTTGCTTGGATCCGAGATCTCGTAATTGTTAGCATTTCTCGGGCATAGCAGACTCTTCGCCGGCGGCGCAGGAACCGCCACGCGGAGCACTGATCTTCCACCGCCTTGTTTTCAGATCTTGTGGATACTCCTGCATCCAGGAGAGGAAGATGTATGGGCTCAGCGTGCGGCGAGCAGTGGCAGCCACGCAGCCAAGAAAATCTTCTGCACGCGCCCTCCATGTAGCCGCAGTTTCAGCTTTTCCCGAGAGGCTTCATGGCCGCTTGTTGACAACAAGTGCCTCTCCGGCTACACCGCAAAATGGCAATCGACGCCAAAGTGCAAGCCTGTCTTGGGGCCCACTCGGACTTACAGCTGCAGCACACTTAGACACCATTCAACGCGTGGCAACACCGCGTTTTCTCTCATCTTCAGCCTCACCGGTGATGGAGTCGATACCAGTGGAGGAGACTCCAAATCCGAATGCTCTAAAGTTCAGACCTCTGCTGCCTCGGCCGCTTGTAAATGCCAAGGGAAGCTTCGCTTCGAGAAATTTTACCAAAACTTCGCCCGGTACGATCCTCGCTCCTCCTCCTCTGCTGCTCGAGAGTGCTCTTCTGCTGTCGTCGCCCGTTCCCCCTTCTGCTGCTCTGCCCCTTGTCAAGGGCGCTTCAGGTGTGTGCCTCATTCTAACTGGGAGGCAACCGACCACGGCAAGGAAGAAAAACCACAAAATCACGACGTTTTCCGCTCATTTTCCTTCTGGCTTCTCAGGTGTAGCGGACTCTCCAATGGCACAGGCCATCTTGCAGGTGAAAACGATGCGCTGATCGCTAAGACGCAAGGACTGCTTCGGGTGCTGAGCTGCTATGGCTTGCGCGAGGCGAGGCTTTCATGAGCAGCTGTGGCTGCTAATGTCAGACCTGTGCTGGTGTGTTTTTGACTGCTGTACTGCCTCAGGAGAGGGGCGTCGTGTCCGTTCTTCTTGGCGCTGGCTTCGTGTCAGTCGTGAAGGAGGCTGAGGCGCAGTGGGAAGATCTGAAGCCTAGAGTCGAGGCAGCCATCCGGTGATCTGCAGTAGCATTGCGAGCAGGTGGAAGAGGCGTGCTCTCAGAAAGGGTGTCACTAGGAGGGCGTGGGATCTTTATGCAGGTAGACCGCGTTTCTTAACTGCTGCTGTTTGGGTGTAGGCACAACTGTCTCCTGGACTTGTTTCTGTTTCTGCTTTTGGCAAAACGCAGACTTTCTGCTGCCGCTCAGCTGGCGCACGCGACGGAGGCAGCAGCGGCGGACGAGGCGGCAGCGGCAGACGAGGCAGCAGCGGCAGAAGCATCAAAAAAGGAGCACGCCCATGAGGCTTCCTCGGCAGCCGAAGCGCCTATGGGACCTGAAGAAGAGGAGCTCTTTGAATCAATCAAAGAGACGCTAAACTGTCGCGTCAGGCCCATGTTGCAAGTACGTTGTTTGGCCTTTCTACGCTCATTTGATCGTGGCTATAGGGAGGGAGAAGCATATTTCTGTCTGAATTCGAACTTCTTGAAGAAAGGCGCCTCTGCAATGGCGCTAAGGAGGAACTGGAAGCATGCAACTCGCCGTCCTCGACGGCCAGAGTCTTGAGCCTTATACAGGCCGACCTCTGAGAGAGGCTTGTGCAGAGGGAGGGGGGTGGGGGTGGGTTTGTTTTTCCGAAGCCAGCTGCAGCTCTGCTAATTTGTGTTTGCGTTGTTGTTCCCCCTGATCGCTTCTCTGCGGCACACGATGCGCAGCTGGCTGGCTGGCTAGCTGGGGCAGGCGAAAATTCCAAAGGCACATGCGGAGAGAGATTTTTTGTGTGTGTCTTGAAAGCTTTCTTCGCTGCCTCTGAGTGCGGCACAGATGGCTAAAAGTCTCGCGTTCCTCTGCATCCCAGATCGCTCCCCTTCTTCGCTGCCTGCCTGTGCATCCTGCAGGGAGACGGGGGAGATCTGGAGGTTCTGCGGTTCGATAGCGAGACCGGCCAGCTGTATGTACACTTGCTGGGGAGCTGCCAAGGCTGCCCTTCCTCCACCGTCACTGTCAAGAGAGGGATGGAACAAATGCTCAAGTACTACTATCCAGAGGCAAGTGGCTTGCACCCTGCGCTCTGCAGCGTAGCGAGAAGCGTAATTTCCTGTAGGCTTTCCACTGCGAGAACTCTTGCGAGGGGGGTGGGGCAAGAATTGCGCTGCCGCACGACCTCCTAAAAATGGTTCGAATCGCTGGTGGGTGGGTGCCGTAGGTAGAGGCAGTTGTCGAGTGCGACGAGAACGGGGAACCCCTCCAGCCCGAAGACGAAGAGGCTGAATGAAGCGGTCTTTGGGGAGGGAAGGGGGGCCTCCCTCTAGAACAGCACACAGGGTATGTGCGCGTGTAACGCTCTGGAGGCTGCGTTTAGCACATTTAACGCATGCAATGAGAGGGAAGCGTGTTCTAGGGTGCCTGGGTAGAGCAGTGTCTGTCTTCTTTAAAATACCGATTAGAGAGGCTTTGTCTCTACACTAAGGCCGCTGGGCAACAGACGGTGCCGTGCGGGATCAAGAGGAGCTAACAGTCTGCATGCGGCTAGTAGCATTCCCCCGTTCAGCCCGATTCTGTTCTACACGAGGGCGCGTTGAAAGGATCCAAGCAATTAAATAGCGTGAACCGCAGTGCACGCGTCTTCCGCAGTGCGTAGCGTTCTCGTGTTGCTAGCTAGCTCGCTAGCTAGCAACCAGACACCCACGCCTGCAGCGACTTTCACCTAGAGGGTCTATGTGCCCCTGCTGCTCGTAGCAGCAGGGGCACATAGACCTTGTAATGTTAAATTAAGCGTCTCCGTCACTTAGTAATCCACTCGATGCGAACTTTGACGAGCAGACTTCTATAGCGTTCTGAGGAAACTCCCCCCGCTGCCCGCGCACCAAAGGGGAGAGAGAGGGCCCACTACTGTGCATGCGGCTGGACTCTCGAGGTACTCCGACATTTTACAAGTGCTGCTACAAAACGCCTAGCGTACATGCATGCATGCATGCAACGCTGCCTCCCTTGTATCGAGTTCACAGTGCTCTGCAATACCTTAGGGTCTCTACAGTCGCACACCTACCCCCCACTGAAGTTGGTATTCCCTTTTTCACGCATCCGCAGTTCAATATACAGCTCGCGTAGCTAAAGCGGTGCCAAATTGTATGCACAGCCTCCCTTTTATTGTGTTTCCCCTTGTGTCTGTCTTTGACGATGAAGAACATATCCTTCCTGCCACCATTTCGCACTGCCCGTAATAAAGGTCCTCCCAACTGTCGCTCGGTGAGTGTCTGCCCGTAGCCTTTTGTGTATTCTGTCATGAAAACTCCTTTTCTGTGTACTACGCTTGTGCCTTTTCTTTTCCTCCACTCGTTATCCGCACTTCGAACTAAGTAGGCCTGCCTTTCCTTCCGTGATAGCGAACCCACTCTCCCTGGCTGCCGCCCCCTGGCGCTTCTCGCAGAGTTGAGTTGGGCTGCACCCTACGAGGCTGTTGCCTGCCTCTTCAGCTTGTCTCTTCAATGGCGAACAAATACACTCATCAACAGCACTAAATTGACTCGCACAGAAGCCAGCCGGCAAGAAGAAACGGGGTCATAAGGACCCCGCCTTTACGGCATACGGCAGCAAATTGCAAAAACACGCATGCACTGGAGGAGGACAGGTGCCTTTGAATTGACACTCAGGCAAGCTGGCTCGTATTGGCTCGAGAGCGAGCGCAAACACAAACAGAAAAAAGAGGGATAAAGGGGCAGCAGGGATGGCGCAGTCGAGCGATTGGAGTTTTGCGGCTGCATCGGCAGGGGACGATCGTCTCCCCCGAGGCAAGTAGGCCTTTCGAGTTCATTACACCCTAGAGTTGCGGTGAGTTCAAGGAGCGAGAAATGGAGACCACACCAACAAAGTGAAATAATGCGCGCCGCTACATGCGCCTGCGTGCCTGTGCTGCTGCTGCTGCTGCTGCTGTCGCCGTCGCTGTTGCTGCTGTTGCCGCTGCGGTTGCTGTGTGTTGCAGTCCTTAGAACTGACCAGAGGAAATCTTCGCAAAGAGTTTCTTGCGCAGGCGCAGCTCCCGCCGATTCGCTGCTGCCTTCTGACGCAGCTGGCGTTCGCTCTGCTCCCCGTCCACTCGACCTGCACGGTAAACTCAAAGCAGCCAAAATCACGACGCACCCTACCCAGCAAGGCTTAAGGCCAAACGTTCTGTGTGGCATCGTTCTTGTGTGGTCGTCCTCTCCAGTTGTTTGACCGCACTGAAGGCTGCCTGCAGCCTCAAGCAGCCAACACGACTGCCTTCCTGCCAAAAAGCCGTAGCGTCCTCTTTCCCGCGCGCGACTTTGGCTGTAGAGCGAAGGCAGCCTCCCTGCTCCCTCCCTACACCCACAGCCACCATCTGGCGAGGCAGAACATACCCCCTTCCTCCCTCTTTTCCCCAAAACGCTTTCCCCTCTCGAAGCGTCTGCGAAAGAACGCACCTAAAGCCTCCAAAGTGCGTCTAAACGCTTGCGCGGCTCGCAGTGCCCTGCGGATGCCGTAAGCAGCTCGAAACCAGCGAACACGGTGGACAGAGTCTTCCTGCCACTGCACTGCGAAAACATGCTGTCTGCGAACAGACACACACACATGCACTGCAGATAAGTTTCGAAGAATGCGTGAAGGGGCAGGTATATGCGCGAACTCCGCAACTGAGCCTTCACGCGTCGTAGGTTGCTTTTTCCAGTGACAGCGAATGCCTCTGTTCTACCCTCCTGCCTGCCTTCCTCCCTCGCTCCCGTCATTCTTCCTCAGTCTCCCTCACATCGCCTTCCCCCTTCTTCCCAATTTTCTCTTCACGAGCACCCAGCTGCCTGCGACTGCTGGTGCGCCTTAGAAGAGGGAAACGAGGCACTCCTCGCTCTGGAGCCGTCCAAAAAGCCTCACCGCGGATAATAGTTCACCCCCTTTGCACTCTGCGCCGCCAAGTAGTGGCTGTCGTGTGATCTGGTGTTGTACTTTCGTCGCCTCCACGAATTCCACTTGCCGTTCAGAGACAGGGGGAAGTCAAACCCCAGAAATACGCCTTCCCTGCTCAAATCCATCCTCTGCAGCCGCAAGCAAGCCGCAAGTAGAAGGCGCAGCAGCCACATCTAGAACCTCCGACTTCCGACAAACACTGCCGTGGCAGCAGCGCAACAACAGCAGCGCAACAACAGCAGCGCAACAACAGCAGCGCAACAACAGCAGAGGGTGGGAGGCCTTGCGGATGCTGGAAGGAGTCGTTCTAGGGGGAGATTTTTCGTCGCTCTGGAGACGAAAATCTCCTTGTGTGCTGCTGCCACCCCTTTAGCAGGGGGAGTTCGCTGTCGAAATCGCGGGGTGTTAGTTCTCGCTGGAAGGAGCAGTCGAAAAGACGCTGAAAGAGCTGTTTAGGCAGGCCTGGAAGGTTCAGCAGGATGATGCAACGAAGCACGCCGATTGAGAATGCCTACCATCTCTCGATAACAATTTGCGGGAACGAACTGTTGGATTCCTTCAAGTCGAGCCGCTGCATAGCGGGGAGGGGGCAGATGCTCAGGAGCTGCACAGAAGACGCACAAGCAGCAAATCTCAGCTGTGGAAATCCAGCCACACGAGCTGTAGACAGAGAGAGACAGACGCACAGACAGACGCACAGACAGAAAAAGAGAGAGACCTTATCCTAGTCTGAAACTTGAGCAAGCCTTGACAGCCGAAGTGTGCAGCCTCAACGAAATCCAGCAGTCGCATTTAAAGGCCAAGAACGTGCCTGAGACATGGGGATGCTGCAGTTCTCGAGTCTTGAGCTTCAAAGGATGTTTTGAGAAACGCTGCTGCTGCAGCTGCTGCCACGAGATCCCTCGGACGGTGCTGCTGCTGCCGTCGCTGCTGCTGCTATCACCGAGGGCAGGCACGCCACATCTCCAGCGCTGCGGCTTGCACACAGAAAAGCAGCTACCCAAGGAACTGAAGTCCAAGCTGCTGCTGCTGCTGCTGTTGCCGCCACTTCTTCTGCTACTGCCTGCTGCTGATGTGGAGCTGCAGACGAAGGCCGCTTCAACGGGCGCAGCCTGGCAAGACCGCGATAGGCTGCTGCTAATGCTGCTGCTAATGCTGCTGCTAATGCTGCTGCTGCTGTATCTGCTGCTGCTGCTGTATCTGCTGCTGCTGATGCTGCTGCCTCTGCTGTATCTGCTGCTGCTCTCTAAGGGGGCGACGATATCGACACCTCGTAATGAACGGCAGCGCAGTGCACGGGGAAACGCATGTGGAATTACCCTCGCTGTTGCGGCAGCTGCAGCAGCAGCAGCAGCAGCAGCCGCTGTTGTCGCCTTTGCAGCAAGGAAGACCATCTGCAAACGCAGTGCCCGTGCCAGGCAAAAAGGAAAAGCGCGTGCAGAGAAACAGATCGCAGTTCTGATGAAGTAGCAGCAGCCGCAGCAGCAGCCATTTTTCCAAGTCTTTGAAAAAACCGAAATCCGAAGAGGGGCCCCCCCGCTGTACCCTCGCACCCCTGGGCCCTAGGGGGCCCCCGAAGGGGGCCCCTGCATACCTCGGAAAAATGCCTGTGCAGCGAATAAACGATTAAAAATAAGCTCTCCAGCAGCGAAAAACCTCCACCTCGTCGTGGCAAGCAGCAACTCCTATCAGATGCAGTCGCACTAGACTGAGCACTCCACTGGGAAACATGCGGGCTGCCTCCTAGCAGCGTGGTGAGTGGTCGTCATACTGCAGCCGCGGCGAAGCTGCATCTGCAAGAGCAGGAATTCTTGCTGCTGGACCTCGTAGTGCTGTATAGTGGGAGCTGCTGTGGCAGTGGAAGCGGCGTCAAGGGCAGATGTTGCTGCTAAACGCTGGCAGCAAGACTATTCCTCTTGCAGCCGCTGCAGCGGCAGCAAAAACGCAAGCAGCTAATCGAGTGGCTACTGCAGCAGCTACTGCATCAGCTACTGCAGCATCCTCCTCCCGCGTGGCAGTTCGAACGGCAGCTCGGGAAAACAATTTTCGACCTGCCGACGTCGCAAGCGGCAGGCAAGTGTTGGAGATATCAGCTCCGATCTGCAGCAGCAGTGGCAGCAGTGCGCTCCAGCCTACGTGTAGCTTGCCTCGTGTTGCATGCAGTAGGCGCCTCCTAGCCGCATTTCGCCCGCTTGTAGGTCGTTCCCTCTCATCCAGCGTCAGGAGCAGCAGAGACTCTGGCAGAGACTCTGGCAGAGACTCTGGCAGAGACTCTGGCAGAGACTCTGGCTGCGGTATGAGCAACAGCAACAGCAGCGAGATCCGCGAACCTACCAGGAGCAACAGCAGCAGAGACGAGGGAGCTGCTGACTGCTTGCCTCTGTGTTTAGGCATTGCCAACGTGCGGGGTTCTCTTGCGTATGCGCTGGTCGATGTGAGTCAGAAGCCAGGCAGGAAGCACGAGTCTTTTTTCTGCCAGCAGCAGCGCATGCGCTGAAGAGAGAGAGAGAGACAAAGACAGAGAGACAAAGACAGAGACAGAAAGACAGAGACAGAAAGACAGAGACAGAAAGACAGAGCCAGAGAGAGAGAGAGCATTTACAGTGCTGCAGAGAGGTTGCGACTGTGCCTGCTGCTTTTCTGATTGCTTTAGGGAGGCTCACTCCGTCCCTTACGGTTTGGACTGTTTGACTGGTCGCTTATAGAGAAGCAGAGGGGAGCAAGCCTCACGGCGAAGACGCAGCAAGTCATGGAAGTTCTCTCGCAGCTGCGGCAGCAGCAAGAACTGCAGCCGAAGAGACTGCAGCTTTCGCGGGATCAGCAAGTGGGGAGTCTGTCAGCTCCAACGAGCGGCAAGAGCGTGCTTGGAGGAGGAACGTGGGTAGTAGGCTTTCAATCTGCTTTGCGATTGCCTCGCTCTCTGTCAGATCTGCAGCGACAGCAGCAGCAACAGCAACTGCAGGGGTCTCTTTCGGTTGCTCTGGCTGCTGCATTCCAGCTGCAGCAAGTCTACAACGTGGAGCCTCAGACTGCCAGACAAGCACTTGGTGTGACCATCAGCCGACGTCTCTAAGTCCATTTTTTTCTGGCACTGAAATGTTTCCAGCGCGCGCAGTAGACCGCTGGCAGCCTGTAGAATGAGTGCCCTCCTGACGTAGCCACAGGTTATCGGCGCTTTTCGTGCCGAGGCTGCTTCTTGGCGCCTTCCGAGCCAGCGGCTGCCCAGCTGGACAGCTGGCTAGCTAGCCATCCCGTGGCGAGTCAGCTAGCCAGTGAGGGGGGGAGAGCGAGCTTCTTGGTGGAGACTGCCTGTTGGTTGCGTTTACGCAGGGCGTCTACTGGAGCGGCCTCTGGCGTCTCGCGAGGAGCTCCTCGAGTTTCTGAAGGAAGCGGTCGGGCGATCCTAGAAAGAGGCAGACATCTCTTCAGCAGCAGCAGCAGCAAGGCTCCAAACTCTAGAATAAACGGCCTATTGTGGTGGGCTTGCAGAGGCAGGAGGCAGTTGTGCCGCTCTCGCTGTGTGCTTCGCAGGAACCCGATTTTCCACGAGCTCCCGACGATAGCGCTCTCCTGATGGCTGATGCCTGGCTTGTCGCTGTCTCTGCGAAAGTGCGTCTTTTGAGGTTACGACCCCCTTCGACCGTTGCTCTCCTCCTCGACACGCATGCGTTTCGAGATCCCTCTCCCGATCCTTGGCCCCTCCGTGCTTGTGAGCACACAGTGGAGTCTTTGGGGGCAGCCAGTCTGCTACTCAAGGCTTGCCACGCACAGTTCCGCTTCAAGTCTCTGCCTTGTTCGCTTCGGTTTCCTTGTCTGTCTGTAGCCTGCCTGCCTGCGTACGCTTGTGCATGCGTCTTACGCGGCTCGGTCAGCCTCCAGGCAGCCTTCAGCGTCTTGTCGTGGTGCTGCCGCTGCGCCTTAGTGAGCTGTCGAAAGGGGCCTCAAATCCGCGCAAAAGTGATTCTCGCTTCTGTGCAGAGGCTGCTGGCTGGTGTTGCAGAGGCGACGAGACACAGACGCAATGATGGAGCAGCTGCGGAGTCTGCAGCAGGGGCACCAAAACAGTTGCGGCTCTAACAGCGCCTCCGCGTCGTCGCCTGCTGCGTTTTCCTTACAGCAGCAACTAGGGCACCTGCTGCAGCGCGTCTCCAAGGCTCCAGTGCTGGTCAAGCTGAAAGAAGCGGCAGCAACGGCTGCCACTACTGACCCCAGAGCCGGTACGTACTCCACCTCTGGCATGCAGGAGCAGTAGCTGTGACACCAGAGGCATCAAGTTTTTTTTCAGGGGCTAAAACACATCGTACGCGGGTGCCTGCAGCACGGGAGATGAAGTTGGTGCTAGCAAAAAAGCAGCAACAGCTGCTGCAACAACGGCTGCAGCTCCTTCTGGACAGTCTAGAGGCACCCGTATGGGCTTCCTTCAAGGGGGAGGCACCCCCTGCCGTTCATGACGGCGCTAGCAGAAACACACTGGAGGGAGGCGCTGCAGCTTCGGAGTAAGCGGGCTGATTCCACTTTGCAGCAAGCAAGCAAGCCTCAGACAACTCCCGTACCACTGCCTCTGCACTTCACCTCGAGCTGCTAAAAAAGACAGAATTCGTGCACGCCGACCCCTCATCTCTACCAACGGTCTTCTGTAGCGTAGCTCTGTTCGCCAACCCGCGAAACACCTCCACGGATCATTCTTTCCTACAAAAGCCTTCTAAAGCAATAACGCATCCGCAACGCTAATAGCAGGTCCACCTTTGTGCCGCTCCCTTTTGGGCCCTTCGTAGGGAGATGCCTAGTTCCAGCCTCAATACAAACTTACTACAAGCTTGTTGAGTGTATTCCTAGACAAGGCGCTCCTCCTGCTGCCACTCCCCCGAATTTCCCTACATGATGGACAAGGGGCAGCTAACGTATGCGCACCCGCACCCTCTATGCGCTTCTAGCATCCACATCTAGCTGCGCATAGCTTCTATCGCGCATGCACATCATATTGCGTCTTCGAATAGGGATCTAACGGTTCTGTGCAATAAATAAGGTATACAAGCAAACATAGCAACTATCCTCTACTGATTCCTGTGAAATATCACTAGTGTAGTAGCAAGTCCTGAAGTGTAGCGTTTAGCCCGTTACACCTTCCGCCCCCATGCTTCAAACATACGCCCTCATGTTCTGTTCCTGTCCGTCAAGACCAAGTGCATGCATGTTGCCGGAAGAAAAAACTTCCTGTGTCGTCCTCCCAAGGCAGGCAGGAAAAGCAAAATATCGCAAACTAGAAAAGCGATAACGGACCTCAACTGCTCGCGGAAATCGATGTGAAGGAAGACACACACACTCTAGCCGACAACGAACGAGGAACCAACTAATGCGACTGCGATGGCGCGCTACTGTCGGAGCGCCGAAAGTCGTGAGCATCTTGCTATGATAAAATAGAAGACAAGTTAAATGTCTAAAGGAATTAAGGACACGCACCGGCCCAGTGGTGCGTCCTCGCATCATGGAGCATTCTCTGCATACAACAACAGAAGCTGCATGTAGCACAGGTGATTTCACTGCGCCGGAGAGGCACGAGGAAGATTGTTGTACAGGCACCTTCCCTGCGAGCGCCTGTGCATGAGTTTGAGTTTAGGCAGCACAACGACAACAACCTGCAGCTTTTCAAGCTTTACCCATGAATAAATGTAGCGTTTGCAAGCAGAGCATGCGCTGGGAAAGGACAAATACCAAGGACAGCGAGGAATACAGTTCACAGGGGCTAGCGCTGCTAGCCAAATAGCACGCAGACTCCCCCACTGGCAACGAAGCCCACAATTCAGTCCTGCGGCAGCCATCGAGGTTTGCGTTTTCCACCCCATATCACTAGAAATACACATCTGTTATGCCTTCGGTGTTGCGGACTGGGCTAGACAAACACTTTCTATTGCAGCACTTTTATATAGGTACGACGTAACAAGGAATTGACAATTCGGTTTTGCGGCTGGTACATCATATTTATTGCAGAGCTGCTATCTCAATATAAGAGTCAGTTTGTATACATGTGCGCGAAATGGTATATGCAAATAGCTGTGAGTGCTCGGAGTTTCTAGGTGCGAATACTTCATTGCTATCTGCCACTGTTTCCTGGTGTTGGGAAACCTCAAGGGCACAGGAAGCAGGAGGTGGGAGCTCATTTGTATTACACTCAGCAACCTTGTATTAAGTTCGCATTGAGTCTGGATTTCACTGTGTTCATACAGAAAGCCTGCTTGGGTTGCTGCATGGAAAGCTTCAAGTCGTGTGTGCAGCATTGAAAATTATATCACACCATGTTCAAGCATTGAACGTTTTGCAGTCGGGTTGGTCTGCATGGCTTTGCAAGCGCGTTAGGGGTTTTTTTTCACGTAGGCCCCCCTAATAAATCCTACGGGGATATCCCTTGTCGCTGTTGGGCATGTCACGAGGGCACTTGCTTCTGCTGCATTTCCAATGTAGTGTACATATCAATTACGGCTACATGTTAATCGTGCAAATCGTGTCTACTGCAGGTCGGCGTGTTCCATGCTTCAATGCATACCAGGCTATGCTAAGGCGGATAGCTGTCCCACCCGTGTGGCAGGTGCTAGGAGCCACTTCTGTAGGGGTCCCGGTATGCTCCGCGAAGCAATGCATTTTAGTTCAATGGAATCGAAATACAAAAGCTTTGAGAGGTGCACTAAGATCGGGATATGCTACGGATCGGGCATTAAGTAGCGCTATTTCGTTTTCATAGGACTGCATGTACCCCGTTGAAGCCGATACCACGTGGGTAATATCAATGATCACTTGTCTAGCACATAGAGCAAGGTGGCAAAAGACCGATATTTACTTTGCATATGGATGCCCCTGATTGAATCAGGGGACTGATATCTGTACGCCCCTACGGTGTCATTCAAAATAGAGCTCAACAGTGCCTCAGCCTTGCTACAGTTTGTAATTGTTGCAACGAAATAAAAGCGCCCCTTGTGCCCTCTCTCAGGGGGAGACTCCCGGAACCCGCGGCTGTCTTTAGCCTCTATGTGTTTGACATAAAGGACTCATGAATACCCTTTAGTAGTCTGGAATTGGCCATGATTGAAACTGGGGTGCATCATTCTCAGCACGCTCCTGGTCTACCACCGAAATTTTTTGAAAAAGGATTTGGCATTCTTTTGCGTGAAGCAGATTGAAGATCTGCCGGAAGCCTCCACTGTACGCTCTTAGGGAAGCGGGAAGCGATTGGGGGCTCAAACCTCCTAGGGGTGTCAGTGCAGTGCCACTGACGGTGCGATGGAGTGCAGACACCTGCAGGCGATGGCAGGTGCAAGCATTTGTGGGGCTTCTCTTCGATTCCACCATATTCTACCTAACGCGAACTTTTAGAAAAACTCGCCACACGTGTAGTACTTTCTCTAGCCAGAAGTTGGAGTCGATAAGGCATGTAATTGAGCCACAGGCGATGATTTTTGCCGTCTGCGACTCCACAAAACACACTCTCATACGCCACATTTGTACCGACAGGGATTTCTAATATTCACATACAGAGAATAGTTTAAAATGCGATAAAGGTAACGGAGGCATTTCACAGAGCTTATCACATGTGCTATTACACCAATGCACGTGGGGAGGACTGCAGTAAGCGTGTTCTCGAAAAAGCTGAGACTTTAAAGCAGGAACCGCCGCACATTTCTTAATATAAACCAAGAAACATTGTCAAGCCTACAAAAGAAGCTAGCGAACACCGGACAGAGTGTTTGAAACTGCCGGAGGGGCACTAAAGTCCCCAGAACGACGTTACTCCAGCCTTCTTTCCCTGCGGAACCCCTGGACAGCCCACCACAAGGTAGTGAGCGGTTTTTAATGCTCATGGGCTTCAAAAAGTACTAAAACCTTTGATTCTATTGAGCAAAGTAAAAAAAATGGGGAGAGACGGGCAGGAGTCGGTGACCCCTGTGCCTCTAGTTGAACAGCGCTGAAGTTGCGCCACATCGATTTGTTCTCAACCAATGGGCATTCTACATATCTTCTGCCGTGAACACATAAGCGGTTTTTATGAAGTGCGTGTCTGTGAGCCAACGCCGCATGTTGTGGACTCTTTTTTAGGGAAATTTAAGTGAAATACATGGCTTTGTCTCGGCCGACAAGACAATTCAGGCTTGGGAAATCCGGGTTCTCTGGAACATTGTTTCTTGAGAGTAGTGCAAATATCCCCCTGACGCAAATAAAATATCAAGTGGTGCTGACATTTGAAGAAAGTTTCATGAATTATTCGCGTGAAACACGTCTGAATAACTGTTTGGCCGCTCGAGGTGACTCCATCCTCACAAGAGACTTCCTCGAGGCCTTTCGCATGACTGCTCCTGGATTATGAATCTTTGTGTGGCTGTAGATTTCAAACCTTTGTTTTGCATTAAAGCGATCAGTTTTTAATGGTTTTTTCAGATTGTGGTGTCCCCGCCTTCGGGTTCTGCCACAGGAGCGACCAGAGGCATCTCTTGTGAAGAGACGCTGCAGACGCCCCTCATGAGCCCTTAGAGCTCCAAGCTCGATCGGCTGACCCTACTAAGGTGAAAACAGGCCGCAAGGCTTTGTGAACGTCTTGATACGCGGTGGCGTGGCGATGAGGCCGCCTGGGCAGGCATCTGGCTCACAGCCAACAACCCAGTCACCGGTGACACTTGCACAGCTATCCGATTCTCGAGGTACATATCTCTCGAGACAAACTACAACGCAGTATGCTGCTGGAAAATACTGAAACAAAACTTTGAAAATCCAGAGGCCAGCGCCATCAACGCTCTCAAAGTTTGTGGCAGAATCCGCAAAGCCCTTCACTCTGGGTAAATCGAGTGCATGGGTTACTCTCGCACCGCCGAGGCCGCAGCCAGCTTTTCATGAAAGGGTAGTAGCACTTGCTGCTCCTCCGTAAATGGAAGGTGCCAGCGGCATTCGATCTCTACGCAGGAAGATAATTTAAGCTGTAGACAGAAACTTCAGGTTGGACGAAGGAGATTTGGCATCCGGTAGGCGAGCTGCTTCAGCATCATCAGCCGGCTGGGGCGATAGACCAATGCGCGATTTTTCCAGGGTACCGAGCAAGCAACAAATCACACTAATTCGCACACAGGAATTGTACTTTGCAGCACCGGATTTCGAGGCACTTCTTGTTCACAATGTGCAAACGGTCTGACGCTGTCCTTATTACGGTAAGATGCTTTAAAAGAGGAACAAAAGAGGCATTTGGGAACCCCGAACTCCGCAGGAAAATACATTATGAGCGTGCGGACGACAGAGTTACCGAAGCCGCCCTACACCAGGCCAGCACGGCTATGAGGGCAGCGCTCGAGGCTCTAATTAAAGGGTTTTAAAATTCGTTATCCGAAGCGCGCAGGGACCTGTCAGCCCCTGTTTGCCAGGGAGCTGTGGGATACCCGTTGAGCCCGCCGGCACTTCGGGAAAGCGCATAGTTCTTATCAATCGTGTGCTCATATTCTTTCCGGTGACCAGAAGGGCTCTCACGCTGGCCTGCGCCAGTCGCGGCGGCGGCACTTCGAGTCAGCGGGTTTCAACGGCTGCAGCTCCACTTGTGGCAAAGGAACTGCTTGCCGCCGTCAAGGGGCTGCATGGCACGAAGATTGTTCAGGGGCAGATTTTTACTAGCAGCAGGCTCATGGATACACCAATGGGACGGCTCGTTTCGGGGCCATTTAAAAAGCCGTCTCAAAAGGCATCAGAGTATATCCTAGCGAACTGAAAAGAAGCCCCTCGCGGTTCTCGAAGTTGCCCTCAACTTCTCACAAAACGGAATTTCGGTCGACAGCCGCGGCAATGGACGACATCATTACGAACTGCAGTGTGTCTCACATGGCCTCTATGTACGAGACCACCACGAACTGCAAGGTATTACATGGCCTTTTATCAGAAGCCTTGCAAATCGCCTGCTGCGCTCACGCTAGCTTGTGTGTACCATGTTCCCGAATAATGCGCAGCTCTAAAAGTGCTGGTGGCAGGTCTGGAGAAGGAACGTGAAAAGCTGGGAGTGCGTCCGTGCATGCAGTAGTATTATTAACGCCTCGAGATCCTCATGTTACATACTGAGGCAAAACATATGCCGCGAATCCACTCCAGGAACACCTTTGTGCAGAGAAGACTCCCAGGCCATTGCGCTTTCCCCCTCCCCTCGAGTATCACCACCAACTCCACGGTCACCTGCACCAAGATGTGCCATGTTTTAACTGCGATTTCCAATTCCACGGTGGGAAGAGATAAGGCCGGCACTTAGTGTGTGCAGCAGTTGTGCATTGCACAGCGCTTGGTGCTTATGGAGAGTCAAAGACGGAAAAAGCTGTTCCTAGCGGCACTGCATCATTCCACGTGCGTGAGCCCCCGCAGTAGGGCTATCTCTTTATTTGGAGGTGAACTAGGAGGGTCAAGTAGGGAAGGGACGGCTCAAGGGGGAAAACTGGAGCTGTCGACTGAGGAACGGATGTGTACATACACCAGAAGAACTCGTACAATGCGTGCAGACCCACGCGTCCCCCTGAAAGGGCTGCGCGTGTGGTGGCTGCACGCATGCAGGCGCTTCGGCTTTATCGCGAAAGGTGCCAATTTAGATATGTTTGTGTCGATGTGCTGTAGAGGAAGCAGCAACCAACTGGTTTGAAGGGTTCTCAACACCCTTGCCATCTCATGCCGGCAGAAAAAAGAGTGTGATGAAGAAGCAGAACAGAAGCGGTAGAATCCCGAAAACAAATAGGTGAAAAGTGCTGCTGCTAATACACAGAGAGTCTCTCCCGGCCCCGTACAGTAGCAGAAGAAGCCCGTTGGGACGAGTAGGCAGCAGGATTTGTGACAGCCACTGCGGCAGGAACAACGCGGCAGTCCATGCCTCCTCTGGGGGAGGCGCATGCACATCCAGTGTTTCGGGAGTAGAGCTAAAAGTGACAAGGGCCGGCACAGCTGCGTCTCCCGTGGCTGTCGCCGCTGCAGCATTGAAGGGCATGTGGTGCTGCTGCTCCTGCTGCTGCTGCAAAACACCTGACCCAAGCCACTGCAGCAGCAGTTGCGGGGAGGGAAGGTTTTTCGAGCCGGGGGGAAGTGCAGCGCCAGCTGCAGCAGCGAAGCGTGCGACTGCTGCATATAGGCTGGAGCGAAGCGGCTGCGGACAAGCGCAAGCAAATACAGGCGTTGAAAGCTGCACCCGCGAAACGCAATTTACAAGCAACGGGATTTATCACTGCTGCTGCATGCAGAGGAGAGGCTTACCCGCAAAGGCTCAAAGTCTGTGAACAGAAGGACACATAGCAGCACACCCACGCACAGAACTACCTTCCTCAGCAGCAGCAGCTTGTGACGCCACTGCAGCTTTTTGAGTTGCTGCTGAATGTTCTCGTCCGGGTGTAATGCGTAAGTGCTATTTTTCGCTGCAACGACAACAGCAGCAGCAGCAGCAGCATTTGCATCTGCCGATTTTGAGCACTCCTCTTGACGTTCCGCGGTCGGTTGCTGCTGCTGCTGTTGCTGTTGCTGCTGTTGCTGTTGCTGCTGTTGCTGCTGCTGTTGCAGCTGCCGCCGCAGGCAGGCTGTGGGGTCGTGGAAGAGAGGAACCATCAGCTGCATGGCTGGCACGAGCACAACTCCCAGCAGCCATGATACGGAAACGTTGGATATCTGCACGACAGGAATATCAGCGTTCCGCTTTGCACTTTGCAGAGGTTGCGTGGAGGCCAATGGTGGCACCCAAAAGCCCCTAAGGCAGCAGCAGCAGCAAATTGGACCGCAACCACACCAAGCGACTTACGACAAGTGCAAGCAGGATGATGACGAGCAGCAGTCTACAGCCCGTGCGAATGCATATCCAAAGAGCTGGGGGGGCAACAGGAGGCAGCCAGAAGTCTAGCAACTGGTCTGCAATCATCTGCAGAGCTTCTTGTCGCTGAGGCTGTTCGAGTGCCTGCTCCTGTTGCTGCCGTAACATGTCTGCATCTGTATCTCCATCATCGGTGGTGGACGGTACTGCTGCTGCGGCTCCTTGCGGTGAGGTCTGTCCTGCCGCAGCCACAGCTGCTGCGAAAAGCTCGCGCGTTCCGGGAGGGGAAAAAAGACAGCCGGGATCTTCTATTTGGGAAGTGTGTTCATGAGCTGCGACGTCAACCACACGCACAGACCACCAACACGCATTCATGCAGCACGCTGCGGGTGATAGAGACGAATCGAGCCGCCACAGCAACAGCGGCAGAAAAGAAGTATTACCAAAAGTAGTAGTAGTAGCAGCAGCAGTGCGAAATTAACAACAGCAGCAGTGCAAAAATAACAACAGCAGCAGCAGTGCAAAAATAACAACAGCACCAGCAGTGCGAATAACAACAACAGCAGCAGTGTAAATAACAACAGCAGCAGCAGTGCGAATAACAACAACAGCAGCAGTGTAAATAACAACAACAGCAGCGACAGCAAGAGCTGAGGGTACCTTCAAGTTGCGTCTGACGAATGCGGCGAGCAGCATACACCGCGAGGACGAGGAGCACCACATACAAAGGGAGAGCAGCATAGAGCCAAAGGGCAGCCTTCTGCAACACCATGAAAGGCATACTTCAGAGAAAGAATCGAATGAAAAACGGCCGTGCCAAGCGTATGCAAAGCCTCCCCAATAGGTTGCAAGGAGCTGATGAAAGGCCAGCATGCGCCAAGGCAGCAACGACGCACTCGGCAGCTCCGCCACAGACACCAGGGAAGCGGTGGTAGCCTCTGCAAAGTCACTCGAGTTGCAATTGCACGAAGGAGCCATTAAAAATTCAGGAAAGAAGCTCTACCTGCGTGTACTGGAGGAGATCTTCGGTATTCCACTGGGTGCAGCGAGGAGCAGCAGAAGTGCCATAGAGGAAAGCACCAAAGCGAGGCTGCAGACAAAGCCCGTGAACAGCTGCATGCCTCGGCTATTGAAAAGTGTCAGGAGAAGGGCATGACACCAGGATTTAGGGGAATCGATGTTAGAGAAAGCTCGATTGACGGTGCTCGCGCACTCTTCCCCCCTTGCCCTTCGGCTTTTTCCCACAGTACGAACTGCCCTCAGAGGCTTAAGCCGAAAAAGGCGGCCACCAGCAAAGCAAAAAGCAGCAAGCTAGAAAGAGCAGCAGCAAGCTAGAAGGAGCAAGCTAAAAGGAGCAGCAGCAAGCTAAAAGGAGCAAGGTAAAAGGAGCAGGAGCAAGGTAAAAGGAGCAGGAGCAAGCTAAAAGGAGCAGCAGCAAGGTAAAAGGAGCAGCAGCGGGAGGAAGTGCATGACGGGGAAGTCTATAAGGCTTCACGACTTGGGAGGCGTATGCGAGAAAAGCTCAATCTGAGAAACGTTAGGGCAGCAGCACTTGGAGACGCGAAAAGAGGGGCAGCAGCAGTCGCAGAAGAAGCAGCCTTGTGGGGAGAATACCTACCGAGGTGGCTGCTAAATACACGGGAAGAGCCGCAAGTGTCGCTAATGAGACTCCTGCTATGCCCAAAACTAAGGTTCTGACGTCACAGGCGATGCGAGAAGACAGCAGCTGCAAAGCGCACGCAGCAGCAGCAGCAGCTCCTGCTGCAGCTAGTTGTTTGACTTGGTATCCTGGAGTGTCATGAGGAGACTGCGGCAGAACCCCAAGGATGCGTGCCTCTGAGTTGCACTTAGGCGAGAGGATCGCAAACTACTTGCAAGAGCCTGAGGGAGGGGGTTCGACTACGCACAGCATGCAACTGTATTGCCAACTTACGGGCAGTGCAATCAAGAGGATAAGAAGCGGCGTGATGAAGATGAAGGTACCGCCTGAAACATGCGAATTTCTGGTAATGTAAAAGTAGCTAATAAAGGATCGGAAGAGGGATGCCTCGACGTTGCTGCAGGAGCGAACGACTCGCTCTAACACCCTGCAGCACAGCGGCGGCAGAAAAGACTAAGAAGGCGTGGCTGTGTTGCTTGAGGAGGAGACTGCGCTTTATGTATTCATCTTTCTCTCTTCCTCCGAAGGAAGGAAGAGGGAGGGAAGAGATGAGTTGTTTACACACTGTGTGACCGCAGGGAAGCCACAGACAGAGGAGGACGAGTTTCCCAAGGAAGGGGGAAAAGAGGATGGCGACAGAGGAGACGCGCGTAGAGACAGAGAGAGAGAGTAGGTGGGAAGAAACAGAGAGGAGGACGAGGTTCCCAAGGAAGGGGGAAAAGAGGAGGGCGAGAGAGGAGATGCGCGTAGAGACAGAGAGAGAGAGTAGGTGGGAAGAAACAGAGAGGAGGACGAGGTTCAGAAGGAAGGGGGAAAAGAGGATGGCGACAGAGGAGATGCGCGTAGAGACAGAGAGAGAGAGTAGGTGGGAAGAAACAGAGAGGAGGACGAGGTTCCCAAGGAAGGGGGAAAAGAGGATGGCGACAGAGGAGATGCGCGTAGAGACAGAGAGAGAGAGAGTAGGTGGGAAGAAACAGAGAGGAGGACGAGGTTCAGAAGGAAGGGGGAAAAGAGGAGGGCGAGAGAGGAGATGCGCGTAGAGACAGAGAGAGAGAGTAGGTGGGAAGAAACAGACAGAAAGACATCGACTCTGGCTTCCAGCTCGCCATAGGAGCTGAGCAGACTGGCACCGAGACTGCATTCCTTAAAGAATAAAGGGCACCCTTGATCCTTAAGTCCGCTACACGTGGCGGCTCACGAGAGAACAGCCTTCCAGCCAAACGAGCGAGACTCTCCAGGCAGTGCTGGATGCACAACAGCCGCTGCAGCGCTCATGCCTTCCCTGCAGGAGCACTCGCGCGAACAACAGCAAAATCGACTCCCTCCCCACACCCGCAACAGCAGCCTCGACACACCCTGCCTAGAGTACACTGGACACACAGCACATCCAACGCAACGCTCGCTGCAAGCGCAAAATCTAAATTTCACAAATTCTGAAATGCCTCACCGAAGAAGAGGCTCAACGCTTGTGTGGGCACCAGCACCAAGCAACGGCCGCGACACTTGCTCCCAAAACTGCAGACAAACAGACAGACACACAGATTGACAGCCATACAGACAGACAAATTGACACACATACACATACAGACACACATATACATACAGACACACATACACATACAGACACACATACAGAGACACACACAGAACACCTCGCAAGACGCAACTGAAGCGGCAGCATCCGCAGCCGCGTCGCCCACAGCAAGAACAGCCTTCTAGCAACAGACAAGAAGGTGTGCTGCACAAGCAACTGCTACCTCCGCAGCTGGCTCATGCAGCTGGCTCATGCAAATGCCTACGCTGCGCAAGGTCGTAGAGAGAGACTCGCCACGCGCTTCCTGCAACACGACGTTAGCCATGTCTTCATTCACTAGCTGCCCATCAGCTCCTTCTGCAACTCCCCAAGAACAGCGAGACACATGCAGCCACATACATACATATATATATACATATACACAACACACATAATTATACATAAGCATGCATACACATACACACACATACGTGTGTGCATACATACAAACATACACACACGAAAACATACATACATTTTACACATACAGATACATACACACACACATATACATACGTAAATACACACAACAACACATACACATACACACAACAACACATACACATACAAAACAACACATACACATACAAAACAACACATACACATACAAAACAACACATACACATACACAAAACAACACATACACATACACACAACAACACATACACATACAAAACAACACATACACATACAAAACAACACATACACATACACACAACAACACATACACATACACACAACAACACGAACACATCCACAAATTTTCCACAGCTCCACATTTGAAGAGCCCTCCACACAAACCTACATATACGCATGCAGTGCGCATACCAAAAGACGCTACAGCACACGCAGAACAGCCATACACGAGCGTTGGCTCGCAGCGACAGACAGCGGCGAGGCGGTTAAGGGAGTCGCAGTGCGTTCCAAGACAGCCGGACCGCACCAAAATCGACATGCATGAAGCTCAAAGCTCCGTAGTCAGGCAGCAGGAGGCCCCTATGTGGCTGGCGTTGCTGCTCCTGCAGCAGCAGCAGCAGTTCTTGTCGGAGTTTGCGCGGAATGACGTGGGGATCTGTCCAGCGGGAGCCTGCCGCAAGAGCGGCTTCAGCAACTGCAGCGACTGCGTCTTCGCCCTCATCATCATCAGCTGTAGCGGCAACTGCTGCCGCTGCCGCTGCGGGGACTGAGGGATCCAAAGGCAGCACTCCCCTCAATTCCACCACCATCCCCACATGCACGACGGGGTGACCTCCGAGGCTGACGCTATGATGAGGATGAGAGCGACCTCTGAAAAACTCCTCCGAAAAGGCACGCAGTCCTACAGCAGACGGAGACAAGACGGAGACAGCACAGGATATAGGAGAGCGCGACGCGCCACGACGCCGAGAAGTTCTCGAGCAAGCAGCGGCGCCTTGCCTGTGGGGAAGGGGAATTGGAGAGAGACAGAGAGAGAAGAAAGCGGCTCGAGAGGCTTTAGCAAGGGCAGGCAGCAGCGGAGAAGCGCGGCAAGGCGAACCTGCAGCGTAGGGGAGCTGCCTATCGGCAACAACGAGGATGACGTCTTTGGCTAACCATGGCGAATGTTGGTGCAGTTGTACAGCAAGGGCAGCAGCTGCGGCTGCGGCAACGCGTGACGACATTCTGAGTCCGTGTTGCGTGAGCAAAGTCTCCGCGAAGGTGTCTAAAGGAGGCAGTTGCTGCAGGAGGCTCAGCCAGTCGACGTCGTCTAAGGCTTTAAGGCCCTTTGCAGGGAGCGCCGCGGCTTGGGCTGCGCCTGCGACGCTGGCTGCTTCGAGGAAACGCTGCACTGTTCGCGCCACGACTGTCGAGTCTGCAGTTGTGGAGGAGTGCTCCTCCGCACCTGCAGAATCGAAGGGGACAGGAGGCGCCGCGGGGGGATCGAGGAAATCGTACAGAAAGGGGAGCACAACAGCTTCCCGACCGTCTCCCCTGCTGCTGCGTGCGACTCCGACGAAGTTGAAGTGTAGAGTGGCTGCTGTTGAGGCAGCTGCGATCGGCATCTCCGTTGCCGCCGCCGTCCCCAAAGGCTCTGCGAGGTAGAAGGGCTGCAAGACGGACTCCAGTTGGAGGGCTGTGAAGACGGCATGCAGCTCTTGCAGCGCAGCGGGAGCATGCGCTCTTTCCGAGCAGCGGTCGAGACGACGCCTGGGGGGGGGCGATGCAGGAGTCGCATCAGCGGCAGTGGACGGAGTGCCGCTGGTGGCGTGTTTTGAGGAGTCGGGAAGGTAGAGAAAGGGGTATCGGGAGGGGCGGAGGGAACCCGAGAGGCATGGCAAGCTGGCAGTGGCCGTTCGAGAGCGCCAAGCGGCAGCCGTGGCAGCCTCCAGTCTGATGTACACGAGCGTTGCGAGAGGCAAGACGGTTTCGGCAGCGGGAGTCTTTCTTGAAGCGTTGAAAGCAGATCCATGCTGACCAGATACGAAGGCATGCTCTTCGACTTCTGTCGGATGAGGCCATGACGGGAGACAAATCAAAAAAATGACGCCGGCTAGAAAGAGCAAAGGCCTGATGGGCAGCAGACAACACGCATGTGCATACGCATGTGCATGTGCATGTGCCACAGGTAGGCGCGTTGTTTCAGGGATCAGGAGGGATGCACTGGAGAACGGCGCGGGTGTGAATGGGGGGAAGAAAGAGCGGAGAGAGAGCGAGCAGAGAGAGAGAGAAAGAAAGACGTTGAGGAAGCAAAGTGTGCTTCGGAGGGCACGCATAACTACAGGGATGTGCGTTTAGAGGGAAGGGGAGAAGGCTAGGCGCAGACAGGAGGCAGACAGCTCTGCTTCGCCGATGAGCGTAGCAGGAGTTTCGTGTAGAAAGAAGCCCAGCGCAGGAAAGGGGGAGGTGATAGCCTCAGGACGAAACGCTCAAAAAGCAACACCGTGGAACGAGACCATCGGGAGCCTCGCAGAGGCTCGCCGCGAGAAAAAGGAATTGAGGAGGGAGCTGCTAAAAGAGGCCACTGCCGAGCAAGGCTTCTGCAGATACAGCGCGGGAGCGCGCTCGAGCTTACGCGAACGGCCTCAGTCTAAGCAGGAGAAATAGAATTCTCTCTCCCCTGCTCATGCTTGTCGCGTTGCTGCTAGGGAGGGAGATTCCCAGCTTGCGCCTTAATAAGAGTCCAAGGTGCCTCATGGTCGCAGAATGCTAAAGGCATGCCGTCCTTGCCGTGGCTGCCTCGCTGCCCCCCTGCTGCGTCTTCTGCTGTGCAGCGATGACGGCGCTGCTGATGGCAACCGCTTGTTGCTCCAGAAGTTTTGCGCTGAATATTTCCCCTGGGGAACGACGGCTAGCTGGCGAAGCGGGGAGTTTAGCGGGGGACGGCTAGAAGCGGAGGAGGTAGCGAAGCGCATCGGTGTCTTGCTGGCACTGCAGCCGCTCCTGCAGCGGCCTTTGCCAGGCAGATCCAGGGAAGCGAACCCTTAAAGGCATCCCTTAAATGCATTTCTAAGCCATCCTAACCTGCAGAGAGAGACACATTGTGCAGAAGGAAGGGCGGAGCTCAGCGGGAGGAGAGGGCAGCGAAGAGGGGTTGTGCAAGTGAGTGGCTGGGGGTCGCATGCACCGTCAGTGGCGCCTATCCGGCGGAGGAAGGAGAGGGAGGAAGGGGCCCCCCTGCCGACTAGGGGCCCCCCGGGAAGCAAAAACCAACGTTTTTGTGATTATTTGCGCAGCATTTCGCGCTTTGGGGGGAGGGGGGCGGATGGCAAGCAGGGAGAAAAAGCGCTTCCTTCATTCCCAGGGGGGCCAAGGAAATTCAAACACCCCCCACTTCCATCGAAACGTCTGCACCTTCCACAGTGTAGCCTGCAAGACGCAGCGCCGCGTGATGCTCGCTGCCGAGGCTCGACCAGCAGCAGCGTTTCCAAAGCGGCAGAAGAAAAAGAGCAGCCAGTCGGAGGCGACGCATGCAGGCTGCCAGACGTTTTCGGCACTTAAAACATGCCGAGTATGCGCACGCCATGCACGAGCTCCCTGTTGTCGCAGAAGCACGTGGTCGTGCTGTGTCAGCTCCTGCTCGCACGCTTGCTGCTTGAAGAACCCTCCGGAGAATGCAGGCACCTGCACTGCGCGCAGGCTGTCTCCTGCAAGCCTCACAGGCTCCCTTCAGGGGTGGCCTTTGACACGACTTCCACAGCAGCATGGCTTCAAAGGCCATCCCAAAATCCTTTTCTACGCATGGGATACCTCCAGCCACCATGCCATACAGCCATACCAAGAGGGGCAGCAGTAGTCTCGAGGAAGGAGCGCTCACACCGCCTCCCTCCATGCAGCAGCCCTCCTCACACTCTCAGCACCAGTTTCCACTGCCGTTTCAGCAACAGTTTCCACTGCCGTTTCAGCAACAGTTCCCATCGCCGTTTCAGCAACAGTAGGCTGTATGCATGGGGTACTCCCTTGTTCGGAGATGGAGCGAGGCGCAAGCGCCGTGCCGCTGTAGACTTCGGCTTCGAGTTGGGGCAAAACCAACCAAACATTGCATACGACTTCCAAACAGCCAACCTTTTGTCGCAGCGAGTGTGAGTTCAGCCTTTACACACTGCAACGGGAGCTTTCAGGCGCTTGCTGCAACTGCGCTTGCTTAGATGCCTGCAAAAAATGGGAAGGGAGAATGCTGCAAAGGGGAGCAGCTTCCTCCAGGGCTGGGGTGTATCGACACTTGCACTTTTGCCTGCTGTCATAGGACAAGGCTCTTTGGGTGCAACTATAGCCATCGAGCTAGTGAATTTCTCTCTATCTGTCTGTCTATCTCTGTTTCTCTCTCTCTGTCTCTCTCTGTCTCTCTTGAAGCCTTCATGACTGCCGCTGCTGTGCTGCGTTTTTGCTGTGTTTGCTGCCGCTGCCGCAGTGTATTTGACCAGCGGGAAGGCTCACTAGTTTTCGTCGAGGAGGAAGGACTAGGCCGAGCTTCGGATGTGGCAATAACAGCAGAAGAGGCGGCGGGGGGCACCCGCATAGATCCTAATGTAAAGAGGATCTTGTTGTCTTAGCGTGCCGCTGTAGTGGCTGTTACTTGTACGTAGGGGCACCTCATCTGCAGCTTTTTTCCAGGCTGGCATACACTGCCTCTGTCGCTGTCTCTGGCCGCAGTCCAGCTTTGTGGCAGTGCCGCGAGTTGCGTTTGTGCTTGTTCAGGAGCTGAAGAAGATTGAGCACGTGCTTCCCACCTTTACGCGATCCGATGTACGTTGGACGCTGAGTCATACGCATCATCAGGGAAGGGGGAAAAGGGGGGATTGGCGTGGGATAATCTTTTTTTCTTTTTCCCACGAGATCCACGACCTACTCCCTGAAGGCGGGTGCGCCTTCACGGAGGCGCTAGGTGGGCGGATGCGCGTGCTGTCGTCTCTGCTGTTGTTGCTGCTGCTGCTGGTCGTTCAGGGCAGTGGAATTCTCCGGTTGCTATCTGCATGCGACGGCCAGTTCGCGTTTGTCTTCCAGGGGCCTCTACAGCACAGATTTGGAGTCAAAGAGTGGGCAAGGTGGGGCCTAGATGTGCGGGTGTGGTTTTGATCCTTGATTTGCTGCCCTCGCCAGAGGATTCTGCATGGGGGCGAACTCGCGATGCCTTCCACACCACACTTGTGCATGATACTGCAGTCTTGTGGGGTGTCTGCTGCTCTCCGGCTTGGCCTGGGAGCTGAAGTTGTCTGAGGGAAATGCTGCGTAAGACGACATGGTCTACCCCTGCAGGTACATGATAACTTCTGCGTATCCGGGTGCACAAGTCAAGTTCATTACAGAGGTGAAGTTCACCCTTATCATCGGCCCCTTCCTTGGGGCTTTCATGTCTTTACTCTCTTAGCGTAAGAACGCAGGTGTAGGCGAGCGCGCTAGTGTGGCAGGCAGATCCACGGAGAATAATCCAACAACGTCTGGTGCGACACTGCACAGCACTACGCCGACACTGACGACCGACCCGGTAGTCTCAAGGGCTTCATTCCAGACGAGGAAATCGCAGAGGTGAGACGCTACGCAGCACTTACTTTCGCTGTCTCTCGGTGACAGGTTCTGTGCGTCCTCGCGGGGATTGAGGCTCTGAAAGCTAGAGCTGTTTTTTTGTTTGCTGGAGTGCAGTATCGCAAGGCGTTTCGCTGGCGTCAAGCGCGGCTGTATGCCCACGAGGAAGGGCAACCCATTCCTGGGGGGCACCAGCAATCCCCTCAGCCCATTCCCTAGATTTCTTTTTTAGTGGTGCTGGAGGGGGTAGGGGGCGTGAGAAACCGATAGGTTCGCAAGAGAGGGCTCGCGAACGCTGCATCCTCCACCGTGCTGTGTACGTGTTTTCGCCAAACGTCCCACCCTGCATGTGGATCATCTCACACTGAACTCCCCAAAGATGCATCTCCGTAGCTACGGCGTAAACAGTTTATCATTTAGCCTGAAAACAGTCGCATCGCGCCTGCTGAATGCCGTCAAAAGCAGCATTCTACCCTTGTCCAACAGCCATCCTCGTTCAGAAGGAGAGGAACTAGCGGTGGAAGCGCATACGAACTGCGTCTGCAGATGCTCGGTGGAAGCAGACACACTAGAGAGCGCGTGTCGGGGCAGTCTGGTGGAACTAATAAAAGTTAAAATCCGCGTCGGATACAGCACGCACCGATGCTAAAAGCACCAAACGACTGGCGACCCCAACTTCCCCACAGAGCTACATGCGCTACAATTTATCCTTCTCGCAATATACTTGCTCTGCAAGGCACACCAAACTGCACAGGGATGATGCTTACCTAACTTGGAAAAGCTGGTCTTACATACCCACACCCTAAGAGTAAAATCTTAGGGTGAGCTTAGCATATTAGGTAAGCTACGACCGCATAGGCTGTCTAATCAACTACATGTAATCCCCTGGCTAATGCGGTATAAACTGATGTGGAATGAGAGCCAGTTCGCCATAATAATTATATGCGGTGCCTCAAATTTCGATTTCCAAAAGCACTTTTGCGTCAGGGAAAGCACGGTACAATGCTTAACCTTCACTGCAGGGACCATATGTTCAAACTGGATAAGACATAGAATCACTCTTGCTGGTTCCCACAAGAGCCTGTCCCCGACCTAATAAAATACTGCATACTAGTCCAAAGATGCTGGTAACCAAATGGTAGTGGCGCACAGCCTCGCATCAACAATACGTATCGTTGACCTTGAAACAAAACCAACATCCTCTTCAGTCGGATATGCGCTGTGCAACCTCAGAGACGACAATATTTTTATAAGTACGTCGGAAAGTCACCAGAACAGTACTTTTATAGAAGTAAATTCCTGTGGCATTGTAAGCGCCCCTGGAGTATTACTGTTTGACACACCCTAAGCTCATTCTGGAAGCGTGGAGAGCACCTGGCGTAGGGTTGGTCGGTGGTTCCTGTCTCGGTCCAGCAAGCTGGTAACAGTATCTGCCCAGCCATCGGAAATTCCCACCGCTTTCAGCTTCTTCGCTGGTGACTCCATGGTACGGGAACGGTAGGAAATAGTTTTATCGAGACTCGCAAGGTGCTCTGCAGCGCCGTCCCCAATAAAAATGTGGTAGGGGAGATCGCCGTTTGTCATGATGATATAGCATGTCATACCAACACTCCAAGCATCGTACTTCTCCGTTAAGAAAGAAAAAGAGTCACGCAATGTGCACCGTGCATGTGTTGGATCCATAAAGAGGTATGTGATCCTTTCGGCACATCTCCGCCTGTCGCCCACCTTACCAAGCATGCCGAAATCAGCGAGATTAACTAAACCATCCTTCCCAATCAATACGTTTTCTGGTTTAATATCCTGATGCACTAGATTTGCGGCATGAAGCTTCGCTGTCGTTGTAATTAGCTGCTGACAGAAGTACTCTCTTGCTTTCACGGGAAGGCGGCTGACATTTCTACCTGAAGCGCTTTCAAAAAGCAGCTGAGCTCCGTCGCCCAACATGGGTTCTGCAAGAATAGCGCGGTTAAAAAAACCAACTCCGCCTTTCAGAAAAAATGTCAGTTCAGCTGTGCCTACCGTAGCCTCAAATGCCGGCAGTGCCCAACCGTTATCTTTGGCGATGCTTTTTGCTGTATTGTGCCTGCCCGCTTTACGAGAAGCGTTGGCGGACTCTCTGAGTGGAGCAATTTCCCCATCAATCATATCTGCCATATCCCCTAAAACGAAGTTGATCCAATTAGGCGAAGGTTCCCCGCTTGGTAACTTACTGTACAACAGTTTCATTGCAAAAGTATCACTGCCGAGATGGTATCGTGCTGTTTCGCTTTCAATACTTATTTGAACAACCACTGCCGTGCCTCCAGCTCCTAGGAAATGAATATTGCCCACCTCACATTTGTCCACAATGGCTTTACCTGTAATAGGATCTTTCACATTATAAAGGTACAGTTTGTTTCCCTCTTGAATTCCATTTAGCGTGTCGCGAACCTGAGACTCGAGCTCATGAACACCACCCTTGCCAGCGGCCTTTTTGTCTGCAGTCTCGGCTTTGCGGTTAATCCCCAGCGTATCCAGAATCGCTTGCTGAGCTTCAGGCAAATTTTTGTGTTTCTCCTGTGTGTTGTAGGCTTGGGGACCGTATGTTCTGTTCCACGTGTCTGCTTCGTCGATTGCAGGACTTGCAATACAACATCGGCCATATGCTTTTTTCGGCCATGCATGGTCCCCTGAACCGCATTAACTACGTCACGAAAGCCTCGTGGGGCTGCAGGAGTCCTCTGGAAACGGTTGGGGTTTTCTCCAACCTCTGGTTCTAGCTTCGTTGCCGACGCGAAGCACAAGGCCATGACAGGCGCCAGGACGCCTATACCGAACAGTAGTGCCTTCATCGTTCACACTGTACAAGGACCCTCACATAGCCCGATTAAAAACAAATAACCTGCAATCAAGTATCCTGCAAAGAAAGAGTGAGTCAGTTGAGAACTTCGAAGATAAGCATTCAAGGATACGGCATGGGATCAACGGCCCTCGTTCACAGAGGTTGTGTATCCGCCGACCCAGGCTGCCTGCACCTCACACGCAGTGAGAGAAACGGTTCTACAAGAAGCCGTGAAGCATTGTGCAAAATAATATGAAAAGCGATTTGCAGTCTTTCTCCATAGAGAAAGAAGCTTTCCTACAATGCTTAGGTTTTTTGGACCAGTCCGCCCAATACGTTGTCGGGCGTGGCCTTGCCGGTGGAACTGTACCCTTGGTCTTCCCTGCTGGCGCTGCACTACGTTCTCAAAACTTCAATGAGCATAGAATCGAATTACCATGACACTTTGTCTTTGACTTGTAGGTCAGCAAAAATATCGTTCCATCCTCGTGACTTGCGCATGCCCGATGGTGCTTAGGTTACACACTATCTCACGCAATTAACGAACTCAATTGTATTTGCACTTTATTGACCTCAGTGAGAATAGTTATTCTCTGCCATAGTAGTATACGGATATATTGTGATTCTTTCGATGCCGGTTTCGGATACCCGGTAACATGTTCCTTGTAACGCGTTTCGAGGCAGATTCCGCTTGATGTAGCGCTTCCTGTGGTCCCCCAAGACAGACATTTAAAACCAAGACCAAGTCATAATTAGAGTAAAAGGTATTTTGTGGTCGTTAAAGGAGGTCCTCGGACTTCTTGCAACTACTTGATGGAACTTTTGTAGCGATCCTGTACTATTCAGAGACCCTTCACCCCACAACCGCACACGCATGAGAAAAGGTTTTGAACACGCAGTTCAAGGTGCTCGCTCCTGTACTTTCCCTCACTCCACATGGCTCTGCTAGGCGGAGGGGGGATAGACGGGTATAGTGTTTCTGCACCCCTTGTGCAGTTCTAGAACACACAATAAATTGCACAACGAAAGGTAGCGGAAAGGCACACAGATTTCATTCTAAGTATATGCAGTTACTATTTTATCCGCAACAAGTAGAATAAGTGGAATATCAAGCTCCTTAGTTTATGCTCGCACTACATCTTGATGAATATGTGTGATGCCAATTACTAATATTAAGCGTGCCCTTTGCATTGTGTCCCTTGGACTAAGAAGCATACGTCCTTGTGCATGGCTCTCGACACTCCACAATAGTGTTATCTGCATCGACAGAAGTGTTGCTTCTCTATCGCAGCTCCGCAAGCAAACATAAACCGCGGGAACTCGGGAGAGAACAAGGCAGATGCGGCTTCCGACTTGCTGAAAAATTGACTGCAACAGCGGTTTTGACCGCAAGCCGTGCAGCTAGCCGACTTTTAGGAGCTTTTAGATTTTTCTGCTTGCGCAGGTTTTTGCTGTGCTTTCTGATTTGTTCAGCTCCAGGCGACAATTCAACTGCGACTATTTCTCTGAATCAATGCCCGAAAATTTAATGGAAGGGGACCCAAAACAGGCATAAGAAGCACTATCTGATGTGCGAGTTCTTCCTCATAACTAGTATTATGCAGGTTTCCGGACTTTGTGAGGAACGGATCACCCATCAATAGATTCTTGGAACAGGAAGGTTCACTAAGATCCTCAGAGACACCTATGTGCTCTATCAATAGCCGAGGCCCTGGTGGGCAGTGTTGGGGTTCCAGGGATGATAAACGGCCCTATGGCGCTCGAGTGCAGTACCAAGAGGCGCTGCAGGTCTGGACCAGCTGGTTCCCCTAGTATCCCACTAGCTCCTTCCACAGACCCAAGCCTCCAGCAAAAAGCTGTTTTCTGAACAGCGTCATGTATTGATTAGTTCTGGTGATGTCTCGAGCCTCCTCTGCACGTTGACGTACTAAAGCTTTTCATTGCGGGCTGCATGCACGCAAGCGAAGACTTCAATATGCATAATCACTCCGCTCCATTTTTCCAAGTACACTCATAGAGTTTACATGAAAAGAGTCAATCTTCTTTCGTGTAGAATCCAATATGTTGCTGCATAAAGACACTCCGATAACCCTTCTCTTTAAGCACAGCTTTACGCCTACTAAGCCTGCAGGCACCAGCTTGCAGGCCAGACCTCAGCATGATGGACAGTTGTCTTCGTGAATAGAGACAGGCAAACACCAACTCAACGGAGTGCAGGAACAGTACTCAAGACTTCTCCTTCATCGGAGGCTGTCTCTTGCCAGCCAAATGTGCGTTTCGGGTTGATAATTTTTTCTTTGCCCCAGTGAGCGTAAGCTCCGCATCTGCGACAAGCATCTAGCAGAAAAGCATATGCGTCGAAATTTGTTCATTCTTTAGCAACGCCAACAAATCAGCACAAACTCCTTGATACGCTAAAGTATGCCGGAACCGCACACAACTATGGCATTTTGAACAAAGTCTCCTGCCACTCTCATTGGGGTCAAGTAGAATTTCTCTTAAATTATGATCTAGACGAGCATGCATCTTAAATCAGCACTATTCGTCGACTGAGGTTCCTCAAGCACTAGGGATGACCCCCATGTTCTTTAGGTTTTCGTGGATACTGAAAGCCCTCAACTGCAAATAAATAAGTTGTGAACGCGTTCACAGTGCTCGATTATTACAATCATCTCCAGTTGAAATTAAGAAATAACGAAAAGCAAATTGAACAGTCCAGGGAAATGTGAGACACAGCCCCGAGTGCACTCAAACAGGGATGAATAATACTCAAAGAAACACGCAAAAGGCAAGCACACAGATGAAAACGTCGCTGGAGGGGCTCACGGTGACAATGCAAAGCTCTTCCCGTGTCCATCCCTCGCGGAACGGCTTTGAGTGGTGGGCATGTATGCCCGAGCTAATTCGAACGAAAGGGCTATCCACTCAGTAATACCAGTACGTAAGTATGCAACCACATTTAGAGCCCGAGTTTTGGACACAAGTTCACATCGACCCTGCCCTAAAGTAAACGATAGGCGAATCTCAGCATCGCAGGTGGCGATACAACACACTCTAAGCCAAATCGGAAAGACAATATGAGAGCACGTGCGGGCTCAATGCTGTCGCCATGTTTTCTTTTCAAGGCCAAGGCGTTGGCAGCCTTCCAGCAAGCCGAGAGAATGTCATTGGTTTTTGTTACTTTCTGGGAACCTCCCGTCGACGGTCAGTAGACCCACAGGTCATCCTTTACCCTTTTGAAGCCGCTAGCTAAAGCATACCACGACGTCGCGTCGACAATCATTGCTTCTACGGCGTTCTTCAGCCGCTGGTCGCATGTGGTAGTGTATTAATCTACATAGATTCGGCGCTAGAGGGACCAAAGCTCGCTGTGCTGCAGGAGTAGACGATCCCAACGCCCTTGTGGCGCAATTGGAGAGTGCACTGGACGGGACAGTTATTCTCGGCTGGTTGTTTTCCAAGGTCTCGATGTGCCCCACGTCAGGGCGCTCACTCTCCAGACTCGATTTGCATTTGACTCTAGGAAGTCTTATTCTGTTCGCTGTCTGTGCTCTGCACTGGAAGCAGGTTCAAATTTCGATCTCACGCTTTTCACCAGGACTGGCTTGCTCCAGACCCTCCTGCAGAGGCACGTCCTCGAGCCGTGTCCTGCTGCAGTGAAAGAAAGAAGCGTCGTTTACGAGATAATGCAGCTTGGCAAGATGAATCTGAAATTGTTGCATAACTTCTTTATCTGCAAGCTTTTCAATCAGTTTCTCGAGGTCACATACGCGCTCTACTGCTTTCAACCGCATGAGCGTAGTTACTACTAGTGCAACACCAACGAGCTGGAAGAAGGAATGAAAGCTGTCCCACATGCCTCGCACAATGTGCAGTGCTTCCTTGTTATCCCGTTTCACGGTAATCTTGTTCAGGAATGCAAAGTTGAAGCAGATGCACCGCCTTTAGGCACGAACACCGTGTTAACCCGGATGCGCCAGTCAACTCCTGCACCCCAACTTTTCCCATCGGATCCTTCGCCTGCCGCTCATTTTCCCCTTCACACTGTGAGGCGTACGGTACCGCGAAAGATAGTTTAAAGCTGACCCAATGGTTAGCTAAACGTGGTGCTCTGGACGACCAGCAGGTGGCCTGCCTGTTGGAAGCTCGTCATTATTCATCACAGTCGCGAAGTCTTCTTCGTTATTTGCCCATTCCTGCTTCCCCTCAGCTGGGCGTTAAGATGAGTTCCCTAATGGAAATCCCTTCGCTGAGCCAATGAGATGGGATGCATGCTGAGAACCCGCTTCTCTTACTGCGCTGCTGAGGTGGCCTGATAAGTACTCCACCTCATCGTAGTAAGGCACAGACTCCACATCCCTCACCGTGAGTGAACGTAACGTTGTTGAGGAGACCAAAAAAGATGCTTCTTTCTAGCGCTTTAGAGCCTATTTATCTCCACAGTGAGCAGCTGCCGTCGCATGCGCGCCATTCATTAAGTCACCCAGGGTATACCTAGGATTACGTCATGGCTTAAGGGTCCCGCACAGAGGTCACGGACCAGGCTGACAGGACCTCTTTAGAACTTATACCGGCGTTTCAGTGCCGTAGCCTTCTCAGTCCACGATGGCTGATCCATCCGACCGTTTGTTCTTGAACCTTCAACTAGTCCATCTTCAGTGAATGTTTGTTTCGCTCAGTCCCTGCCTATCCTGCGGCAACCCGGGGTGGCACTTGAGGAAGACCTCAGATTAACCACTAAGAAGCAGCTATTTTTCGGCCTTGAAAAGCCGTATGAGCGTATCTCTCGGTGTGCCAATCCATCTGTTGATTGCCCTTCATCTGCTTTCTCAGTCATCCTAGCGCTTGCCGTTGAGCAGAATTCGACATAAACCCATGAGTCCAGGCTTGTATGAAGGTTTGAAGAGTCGTAGTCCCTGCAGGTAGACTTCTGAATCTGCTTGACTAGAGCAGCATCGAAGTGTCTCTCACCTCGCTAGGCAGTCCACAAGGAGCACTCCTTTCTCTTCATCTTGGGGAACAAAGCAAAGAACATCTCCAACTAGCTAAACTAATCTTCTAGTGCCTGCCCAGTCTTACTGCGGGCTTACGTCCCTAGCCACCATAGTCATATCGATGCATCTGGTAACACTTCATCGGATGTCGGATCAGACTTTTCTACCGGCCATGGCGCTGCTGTGTTTATATCAGCCTGAAAAACGCCCGCTGCCTCCACAACAGGCGCCCCATCACCGCTAACTTCCATAATCAGCAGGTGTCATCACCTAGAAAGCCTAGCAAAGAGTAGCAAAGTACTTAAATGACAAATAACATAAGCCATGCCGGACAACTGTTGTAGGAAAACAAGAAATTAGACTGCCTCAACTGCCACTGGATGGATGGTAAACCACTGCATCGAATGGTGGGGTGCTTACAAATGTAACAATCCATCTGGTGTACCTTTAGCGACACCTACTCCAGAGTCAGAAAAAATTCGGTAGAATGTTGTTGATTGTCCTTCTGAAAGAGTTCCCGCCTTCCCTTGGCATCGCCCTCAAGCGTTCTGGCAACAGGGAGAAACACAGCTAGTGTGTGCCCACATGCACTCTCTGGACGTTGAGCATTTGGAGCTAGGTGCCCATAGCAGCTAACACAAACAAAGCTAAGTTTGTTCCTTCTTGTATCAAGCTAGCAGGGCTATGTAATATAAAGGATACACGAGGTGGAAAATCAGTTTGTCGATTTCTTCTTCAGTCACTATTAATAACTCTAGCGTGACGAATAGTGTTTAAAGGCTACTTTAGCCCGCTATACTTAGTTCATGCTCTGCTGGAAAGGGCTACATTTATCTCTTGCTATTGATCAGAACGTTGCCATGTATTTTTTGAAGCTGTCCTCTACATTCAGATCTGTGCGTAGGCACTCTCAGCTATGCTGTCCCAGCATCATTCTTTATGGCTAATTTGGGGCGTAGATGTCGACATACTGCGAAAAAAGCCGGGTGCATTTGTGTGCATAGATAACTCTATATATGCGAAGACACTGCTGAAGTGATGTCTCTTCTCATGCCTTTAAAACATTTTGCTTATTTCCTGCTTTTAGCTAGCAGGAGGCTTATACATTTCGCCATCCCAACGTCAGCGGGCCATCGGGATGTCTGGGAACCGTTATTTATGTCCTTCGTTGGTTGTTGCCGAGTGTATGTCTCTTTCTTTCAGTCAGCTTTCCTTCAGCGATTTTGTTTTCTTAAGCAGCGTTTTTTTCGTGGCTTTACCTCCCTGAAAAGTGGCGATAGGGTGAGAGCAGCGCTTCCTGGCATGTAACTGCTGTCGACGTACAGGTGCTTACCCGAGAACGTTAGTTTCGAAAGTGAGGAAAGATCTACCGAGCTTCGCTACGCATAAGCACCCTCTGGTATACTATATATTTAGCTAAGTACGAAAGGCTGGCCGATTGGTCTGTCTGCTGTGTCTTACTTGCATATTCCAAAGTACTGTTAGCTTGAATTAAGTTGACGCAATTTTGTGTGCGTGCGCGCTAGATGCCATGGGTAACAAGCTGTGAATGCTCGGAGTCCTTAGCGATTGCAACCAGGCTCACGCTACTTTTCCCTCTCCTTTCATGTGGGAACTCTTAGGGGAGTGGGCAGGGGAAGGAAGAAGTGCTAAAAACCACTAAACAACGTCCTACTAAGTGTACAGCGATTCCCAAGTTCAGAATTCTCTATTCTTCGCAAGCGAACTGCGATAACTCTTGTGAATGAGCCCAAAATCGGTCAAGTTCGCCCCTGATCTTAATTTTTTGAAGCTTTGTGTGTATCCTCCACGGGAAGGGAGAACGAGCAGATATGCCTTGCTACAACTTTTGCACGACCTTTATTTCGAAGAAGGTTCTATGCAGTCAGCGTACTGACGAAGATGCCTTACTTTGGCTTTGGTACTTTTTCACCGAATCTCTGGAGTAACTCGGCGCAAACAACTATGCTCACTGCTTCGTACCACTGCTCTTAAATATAGACCAAAATATCGAGCTATTAGATGAAACAAATAGTTCAAGCTAAAAACGTAGGGAGGTTAGCGTCGTCACACGAATGAAACGGGCTGTTACGCTTTTAAAGAATGCTTCGGTCCTGCGATGCCTTGTCTGCCACGCGTTACACCAACGGGAAGACAAGTCGCACAGGCTCCGAAAAGATATACTCTACCCTGCATTCTCACTTCTCACACTTGTGTGCCAAAATACAAGCGCGTAGATAATACCATGGCTGGCAAAAGTAAGAAACAAAGCCTGTAGGGACTCTCAATACGTTTTTACTCGTTGCGAGCTTCAAAGATTCCAGCCTCACACTTACGATACAAAAATACGGTAGGCTTACTCGAAACCTAATTGGATGGATAAGCCCTCTGCTGCCGTATGAACAACATCAAGAGGCCGAATAATCGCCTCCTATGACACTCAAAGAAATCTACTACACTGTCATTGTATGTTTGTGGTACACTTAGGTGACCTCGCACTGCCCCTGGATTCCAGGTACGCGAACGGGTGCCAGCAGGCCTATGCTATATTCACCTGGGGAAAAAAACATGCTTTGGGCATGCATTCTTTATAAACCATGCTGCAGGCTAAGGAGCGGTACACGCTGGGTTGAAGCTACTACACATCGTCACACATGCCTCTTAAACTTGATAGCTTTGAGCTGCATGCAATCCAGCATCAACGGCCATCGCGCCATTGTCAGAGCCCTCAAATATAGATTCCGCACTCTTACTCCTTGCCCTCCAGCCAATCAGGGTTCTCCTCAAGGGCCTCACTCACCTGCCGTCTCAAAAACTTCTTGTGTTGGAGCAAGCCTTGAACAATTCTGATCGCCGGCTCGCTGGCACCAGCCTCCCGAAGCTTCTTCGCATTTGCCTCTTCCGGTGAGCTCATCGGAAATGGGCTTCCGTAGCTCGTGTTTCTTGACTTATCCAAAACCACGAGTTTTGCTAGAACGTTGCCATGAGGAGTAAGGCCAAACGGCAAATTCCCGTTCGTTAGAATTTGAAAGACTGTGACCCCCGCCGACCACGAATCAAAGAGTGGATCAGCGTTCATCCTACCATCTCTCAATATACACTCTGCTTGTGTTGGATCTGCGTAGAGAGGAGTTACCCCAGATCGGCATGGTCGCCAGAAACCTTCCTTCTCAACGGCCCCAAAGTCCGCAACGTGCGCTTCTCCGCTGCTAGAAATTAGGATGTTTTGGGGCTTTACATCGAAGTGGACAAGGCCCAGTGCATGTAGTTTTTGAAGTGAGAAAAGGAATTGTTTGCAAAGGTACTCTCGTGCACCCATGGATAGGTTAAGCGTCGGTGCACCCGATATATTGTGCTCCAAGATGTTGGTTGCATCCCCCAGCATTTGCTCTGATAAAAGTACTCTACCCGAAAAAAAAAGATTCTCAATGTGACAAATCGCCCCTGCACTGTCTCCTACAACGGCCTCGAAGAGTGGCAATGACCATCTGTTTTCGCGGGATATGCTTGCAGTTGGGGATCGATGGCCATTCGCACGTACCGTGTCAACTACCTTCCCAACTGAAGCCAGCTCCTCTTCCAGAGAACCAGATACTACTGATTTAGCAAATTCCACAGTCCGGTCAGCGGGGATTCCAGGTTTTCCCTCGAAATAAATAAACTTTACTGCAAACTTCTGAACTCCAAGGATCTTTTGAGTGTTCGTATCTTCCACCATCACCTCGACCACTAATCCGTTACCACCTCTCCCCAGTACTTTTCCCAGTTTTGCGTTGCATTGCGAAACAAGTATTTGATCAGAATTACACTCTTTCAGATCGCGCAAGACAACTGTCCCCTTGGGGACGCCAGGATTCATGCTCTGCAAAGCAAGCCGGAAGCTAGCCTCAAACGCAGCAGCTTCAGGAGGCCTATGACGGGTATCGTAGTCATCTAGAACTTTCGCATTGTGTTTCACGGCATCAGCAAGCTCATTCCGGAGGTCTTCTACCTTTACAACCTGTTGAGTAGGCGCGTCTTGCTCCGGTGGGGTATCCGATGTGCCCCGTTCCCCCTGCAGCGGAGAAGTCGTATGTAGGTGACGGGCCGCGTTCATACCCACAGCCGGAGAAAGAGGCTTAGAGAGGATTGCTGGAGGAATACGGAAAGGGCTATACTTTGGCCCAAGGACACTAATGACCCTTGGCTGCATTCTCGGAAGATAGACATGTGGTGTTGCTCGCACAGCAGGCTTGGCTTCAACGAGCGGGTAGCGGCGAGCACCTGGTTGTGGTCCCAACAGACCCCCAGGGGTTCTTAAACGCGTGGCTCCCCCCGGCGGCTGGTTTGCGGGAGGAAGATTCACTGCATGTCTCTGGGCAGCTTGTGCACCCAGTCTAGCTGCACGCAATGCTCGCACATAGTGCGCTCCTTCCAAAAATGAAGGCTCATGATCTTGCATTACCAGAACAGGAGAGGCGTCTTCCGTGAAGAATTGCGCTGGTTGAATGCCTAAAACTAGGGCAGGAGTCAGGACTCCTGAAAAAAATATGGAGGCTTTCATTTTTGGAGGAGTTCGCCGGTGCACTCTTGTCGACAAATGGAAGCGCCAAAGTTCATCAGTATCTTCAGAAATTTCAACTAATTTGGTGGGCCTGCATGTGTAAGAACTACTTCATGCAAATCATATTTTTTGGAAAGGTGCCGACACATGGGAGGAGTCTCTGTCCAGGCCTACAGTAAACGAAGGCAGGTGCATTTTAAAGTTCTACACAGAGCGGTGGCAAGGGGATTTCTGTAAATGAACTATAAGATTTGAGTAAAACATAATCATGATGCTGTTTAGCTTTCACTGTCTGAATGCGGATGGGTAGAGCCGCTCAAGGAGTAGCTGCAGACCACTGGACCAGCAGCATCGGTTTTCCGTCCATGTCGGGGAGCAGTAGTAATTAATTGCAAATCATTGTGCATTCATGCTTTTAATTCTCTTTCAAAATCTTACACATGAAACTTACCTTTATAGTATTATCAGTAAGCATACAGACTTTCTTAAATGCATTTTGCAGCTTGCATTGCTTTTGCTGAGGCGCTGGAGAAGAACAACCAGCAGTGGCCATGTCTCATGCGTTCCAATGTGATATTACTTGCGAGCCACGCAAAGTTTTACCATTTGCACCCAATCATAGTAGAGCCCATAGGTAAAGGCGCTTGTGCCGGCATTCAGTAAATAGTGTATCAAGTGACTTCCTTGGCTACTGTAGAGACAACACACAAACACTTTCTGTTACATCGCTTATATTTAAATTAGAATAAATCCATACGGAAATAAGTCACTTTAGCGTTTTTATGCGCTATTTCTTGCCTAGTAAGGCTAGAACAATAGAGTTTACCAGGCGAGCCCTTGCCCAAATGGCTATTTTGCACCGGGATGCACAACACTCGTAGCGTGCAGAGAGTCAAGCAGCGAGCACGCTATCTATCCGTTTTTGTTCACGCCGCTACCCCTGCATAAAGTTTCCAGAAAGATGGGAAGCCATTTTTAGTACATGCTTATGTTTTTTATTTGTTTTGTTGCATTGGGTCAAGGCATACCCCTCCTCCTGCGGCCTGTACAGGGATACACTTGGCCCCAAACTAAGACAACACCAAAAACATGAGTTATTGCTCATCCTTCGTAAATTTTCCAAGCTTTTATCGCCTTCAGACCTCAGGGCCCCTGTAAGAGGGAAGAGGGGCTATGTAGCGTGTCAAGCTGCACTCAAATGATTCCTGCTGCACTAGCTCTTTTAGTTAAGAACTTATACAGAGTAGGATGTTTGCTTTAGCTGATCGTATTCCTAGTTGCTGTGAAGTAGCAATAGCTCAATACATCACTAATCAACGTTGCGTGCTAGTGCGCTAGTTTATATGGAGAATGAGCTGTGAATGCTCGAGTGCTTGGAAGCTGCAGCGATGCACAACCTAGCTGTCCTTGTGGCCTCATGTCGGACCCCTTAGGAGTCATGACAACAAAAGTTGAAACTCCTTTCGATAAAGGCTACAAAAAGCCTTCTAATGAAACTGCATTTACTGAGTCTAGAGTAAAGTGCTCCACTGAGGGTACCTTAGATACAGCATCACAGTTGGTATCGGTACGTAGTTCGACGCAGCTGTTCTCCGCTCTCGAGCGACGAGCGATACTTGTGGCATATCTATTCAAAAAAAGCACTTCAGTGGTGGCTCGATTCGTGCAGAGGTCGGCTGCGTGTGAGAGTACTACATTTTAAGACACCACACAGTCCGTGACGGATCGGTTTATTCCGATTTCGACTCAACGGCAAGCATTGGGAGAACTGGAAAAACACATAGAGATCAAGCTGCCAACGTTTCTACGCATCTTGAGGTATGTAATTCTTGGTTGCAAAAGACCCGTTGTAGACGAACAACTACCTATTCAGTGGTTTGCGTAGGAACTACCCGGAAGGTTCCCACAGGTGGACTGGCGTTGAACTTGTTGGCATTACATATTGCTTGGGAACATGTGAATCTGTGTCTTCTTAGGACCCCTTGAGTCTGTTTATCCGTCGATCTTGCTGTCGCTGATAGAGCAGCTTTACGTTCCAAGATTTGGGCTCACCTGTCGCGCCTTATCAAACGACTACAGAGCAGAACGCAACCGTGTGAGTGTATGACACATGCCCACATAAATGGTCAAGAACTGCGGGAGTTACTTGACAATGGATGTGAAGTGGGTGCTATCTAAGGAGACGGCGCAGATGTGCAAGCTGGCTGTCACTCGTCGGTGCAATCCTTAAGAAGCAGGTTCGCTGACGGGCGTCAGATGCAAGAGCTGGCAAGGCTATGGCACTCAAGTGCCACTTTGAAGTCTAATAAGGTTTTGTGGCCGTGTTCTGTGACTTTTATGCTAGAATCGTTAACCATGACGCACTTCTATGTGGACGATGGGCGACTCATTGGATGGCGCACATGCAGCCACAGCTGCTCCCTATTGAAGCTAGTGTGCCTTGAAGCGCTGAAAAGGCCCTTTTCTAAATCCTTGATGACACTTGCTTTATCCAGGATAGGCGGGATACTGTCAGTGTCTCACCAAGAGGAGGCAGAGGACTTATGAGGGCGACTCACAATGCAGTAAGGGAAGAAATTTTGACAATGCATCCAGTTTCGGTGGCTCCAAGACCAGTTCCTTATTGAGCATTTTGATTGAGTGTCCAGCCGAGGAACAGCATGAACTGGCAACAATCCAGGAGGAGTACGCGGATGCGCTAAATATTGGCGAGCCTTCAACAGGCTCGCCACCTGCCGGTTTCCAGAACACCGCATTCAGCTATTCTTTGGATCGATTTTAAGCTGTTCCGCGGTAGCAGATGCATCCACAGCATTAAAGTGGAATTGAGCGGCAGATAAAAACTTTACTGGACACGGCAGAGTGCAAGAATGGCCCGGTCCCTTTGAGAATAACCTGGTGTTGATGCGTTAAGGCATGTGGCTTGTGCGTTTTACACCTGTACCTCCGCTACTAGTGCCAACATCCAGCATGGCAGGAAATGCAGCACTTCCACTTTGACAATGGCCTACAGGATGTTTCGTCGCCGGTACGTTTCAACTTCGCTCCGCAGTGCCATCTTGGGCAAAGCACATGATTATATTGGAAAAGCTCACACGGTCATTTTGGTGGCAAGTGATGCGTCCCGCGGCGAACGAGTATGCAGTATCATGCCCACCTTGTCAGCAGCTAAACCGTTGCATTTTTAAAAAAACCTGGACATCTGCAAAAGTGCCTGGTTTGCTGTGAACTGCGCTGACTGTGGACTTTGTTGGTGGACTATTGGAAGTCAAGAGTCTGGGTAGCACCTACGTCTTTCTCGATAGACTCAAAAGATGTCGCTTCATTTCCTGATCCAGCTATGTCCAGCTTATAAAGCTGTTGCGTTATTCTCAACTTATGTTTACCTCCACGAAAAGAGCCGTAAAGTTGCTGGAAAATTGGCCTACTGAACATCGAAGAGACACCACGTGAGAGTTCCGAGTGAAGTGAAGTGGGGAACGCCAACCTCACTGGCTGCGAGAGGTAGTTAAAGGCTAAGTTGCCTGCAGAAAAAGTTGCGGCAACCTTTTGGCTAGCAGGGCTAGTCACCATGGACGAAATTGCCTGTGTTTTTGGTAATTTACTTCTCCGGCGCATGCTGTGACTGGTAAGGTTGCCTTAGTCTATTGACACAGCTTAATTTTTATCGGTGATAATTGTGACGTTAGTCCTTGCACTTACATTTGTGCGCTTGCACTCTCAGCTATGGTGTCTTATTTATTCCTCCGTATGGCTGTTTTGGGATATTGAAGTTGACTATACTGCCTGCACCAGCTGTATTACCATGCAGAAGCTGCTATAAATAGCGTGGAGGCCGACTAGTCTCAATTTGATTCCCTTAATACATCTCACCTGTTTTCTAGTTTTCTTGGAGCAGGAGGCACCAGCCGACGACAGCGCGCCATCGCACTGCCTCGGTCATGCTGGTTTGGCCACTCGTTCGCTATTGAGCAGTGCGTGTGTCTTTCTTCCTGTCAAAATTCTCAACCATTGGATACACGCGCTGGTTTTTGGAATAAAAGCCTTTGCTTTTTGTGGGCCTGGTGAGTGACCACAGAGTGAGGACTCTTTTGGTGCCCTGCATGGAGTTGGTGTCAACGGACGGGTAGAGAACACACTGGGGCGTCTTTGAAATGGGTGAGGAAAGATGCATCCGGATAAGCTGCACACAACACTGTCAGACTATATTTACTCGAGAGCGGACTGATTCTTTTTCCTCCTTGTATACCCTATGTATTACGGAGTATTATTCTTAAAACTCCAGAAGACGCAGCGTTGTATGCGTTTGAGCTAGATGCTATGGGCAGCTAACTGCGGATGCTCGGAACGCTCGGAGGATGCATCAATGCGCCTCCTAGCTGTCTTCTCTCCTTGTTTGAGAACATCTAAGTTGCGCTGGGAATGGAAATCAGGAAGCCCAAATCAAAAACACTCAACGTACGTCGCATCGAATTGTGTGGCTGGAATGGTCTCCCTACGGGGAGCACAACATAATCTATTAATCCAAGGCTTTTAGGCTTCTAAACATCCAGAAAAACCTGCCGAGCATCCTGCTTTAGCTAAGCCCCAATCTGTTATTCAAGTTTTGTGGTTTTTGCATGCGTTCGCAGTTCCGGACATGGCGCAACTTCTCGTAATTTCAGCAGATGGGCTGTTGGGAGGCTGTTTGGGCTGGCTAGGAGTGCCGGCTTGCTCTGCCTTTTGAACTTTTCTTCCGCCTTCGACTTTGGGCTATAGCCAGTTGCCAAGGCTGTGATACCCGCAGATTATAAATCCCGATTCAGGTCTTTTTTCGGTCAAAGGTGCTGGGTGGTGCACAGTTGCGCTGTATACTTCAACTCGTTTATTATTTTGAAGACGTCCCACTGGTCAGTTTTGATCGTAGTCGGTATGCATCCTGCGACCACCTGTGGTAACCCTCCAAGTAGACTCAAGTTAGACCACTGATTAGGGACCTGTTCGTATACGTTATGTTGTACGAATGGTTGCATACTTCTTGATGTATACATCTATTGACACATTGCTCTTTATGTGCTTTTCCAGTTATCCCAATGCTTGCTGTTGAGCAGAGATCGGCATAAACTAATGTGACATGGACAGTGTGAAGGTTTGAAATGTAGTAATCCTCTCAGGCCGACGACCTCTGCATGAATCGAGCAACCATTGAAGTGCTTCTCCGTCTAATAGATGCGCCACAAGGAGCAACTCATTTTCATCTTCTGGGCACAAAGTGAGATGCATCCCCCAACCGGCGGCCAGAACTTTCGAGTACTTGCAGAACCCTACTGCTGTCGTGCTATTACGCCAGCATAACCTTATCGAGGCATCTGTGCACCTTCTATAGGGAGGCATATCATGTATATATATATATATATATATATATATACCAGGTGTGGAGCTATTGAGTTCACAGCATCTTGTAGGCCGGCCTCTGCTACCCCAATACTCGTTGCGCAAGTGTCAACATCCACAGCTAGAAAGCGGTTTTCCCGTTGCCGTTGCCAACAAAATCAAACAACTGAATCATTAAATGACACCACCGAAACCCGACAACTGTTGCAGGTCATCCAGACACCCCATTGGATCCACAATCAGTGGATCCAATGGGAAACAGCTGCATTGAACCACGCCCAGCTAATGCCTGTAGCGCTCCATCTAATATGGCCGACGGCAGACAACTAGCTCCAACTCGATAGAAACTTGGTAGAAAGTTACAAAGTGAGTATTGGAAATCCTCCCTGCTCAACCCCACCCCTTTACAGTTCTCGACATGGGGGAGCCAGCACAGCTAGGTGCGTGTTACTCCACCCGTGAAGCACTTCGATCATTCACCGCTAGTTGCACATCGCATTCAGTGCATACATGGGCACAAAACACTGCGTTTTCTTTGTCCAGCTGGTGACGCTCTTCAATAAACAAGCTATCCGAGCAGACAATCCAGCAAGTCAATTCTATATTGTTCCTTATTCAGATAAACCCAGTAAAGGTGGAAATATCTTTTGTGCAGCTTGGCCCGCTACAGCGACCACGAAATGCAACGTCCTGAATAAATACATGCAAAAGACACCACTGTGGGAGGTTTGTCCCTGCAGCTTACCTTAAGGGCGCCGTTGTTTGTGCTGTAGCAGCAGTTGCAGCTTCAGTAAAATTTCCCCCCGCCCCCCGCAACAACGCACCACTGGGAACTGCGGCACTACCGACGACAGCCGCAGGCATGCGATGGACTCGGAAACTACACACTTTGTTGCTCGTCCATACTGCTGCAATTAAGCGAGCTACCCGCAACCAAGTGTGGCAACAACGCATCAGGTGGTCTCGTTCAAACTGCTGTTGCCTACATACGCAGCAGCGAACCACCGCACAGGGCGGCTGCTGGCAGTCGGCAAAAGGAGCTACACAAGCTGAGGGCTCCTAGCAAAAGGTAGCAGCACACACTGAGTTGCGACAGCGTTACCCTGCAGAACCAGCAGTAGGAGTAGCCTCAACGGACCTATCGGCAGAGGCATGCCCCGGTTTTTTTTATTCTTGCTGGTAGTCGTAATCCATTCTCGGTTCTTCCTCCTCATCTGCCTGCAGCGTGCTCCTCAACAAAGCACCCAAGCTGGTAATGGCGTTTTCATTAAGAATGTTTAGCGGGAAGAAGGATACGAGGCCGAACTCCTCCAGGACAGAAGCAAACGCGCGGTGCAGCTCTTGGTAACGTGCCGGCATGTTCTCCTGCATTCCAACAACCAGAGTGCCGAGATACAACCTGAGAGCCTGTGTTGAAGTAGAAATTTCGCCTAGCATCATTATTGCAAGTTGCTAGACGCGTATACTTTTCAGGCATATTCAGAAATAAAGCGATTTATTGCCCCTTGGAGATGCTTTTGAATTTGCCGAATTTTAAATTGTCGCACAAATTTTGGGTGACCAATATCCAGATGCTCGAGCATCACCGTCAAAGTAGCCGTTCACGCACTAAGCTACTGCACCGAAGCCAACCCAGCGCGGAAGAGACTCCAAGACCACTAGCGGCGCCCGCAACGAAATAGCAAAAGAAGCAGCAGCAGCAAATGCAACAACAATCTCAAGGTTACCAGCAGCAGGGGCGCTTACGTCGAGCTCTTCCACGATATCTTGCACGTCCTTGGCTAGCAGCTGCTCGACAACGACATCTTCTTCTGTCTCGTCGGCATCGGCGTCTTCGATCCTCTGACCAAACGGTGAAGAGTCGAGCCACCTCCCAGCCCAGTGGCTGCCCCACTTCCCTTCCTCTTCATCACTGCTTCCACTATGCTCTTCTTCCGAGTCGTCCCTGCTGCTGGCAGTGCTGAGCTTCCGAGGCTGCCGGCAACTTCTCGGCTCTTCCACCACACCAGTTGCTGCACTGTCTTGACTCGGTCCGGCTGCCAGTGGTGGCTCAGCCGAGTGGTGGGAGATGTTCTCCGGGGTGGTGCTCTCTCTCTTGCGTCTGCGGGCTTTTCTAGTGATGTTTACTTTTGCGACCAAATCACATTTCGTGAAGATGTTGACGTGGGGAAGCTCGAAGAAGAGCATCGCGTTTAGGGCGAGGAGAGAACCGCTGATCGACTTGGCGGGATCAGAAAAAAAGGTAATGTCTAGGCAGTAGGCAACGCAGAGCCGGAGGCCTTGTCTTTCCAAGTAGCTGAAGATGTGTCTAAAGGCGTCCAGGTGTATATAGAGCTCAATCTGGCCGGGGAGGTCAAACAAAAGCAAGTCATCTTCACAGGTTGTCAAGATCTTTTCCTCCAGCCATTCCTTGTTCTTTTCTAGATACTCAATACAGAAAACTAGGGAACCGTTAGGGCCCAAGTGCAGTTCTTCTGCCGCCTCGTCCGCCGAGATGAGCTCCCTTATGTCAATATCAGGCTCGTAAGGCATATACTCGGCTGCCGGATCCAAGTTTATGCACACCACACGGTGTCTAGACACCTCGTACTGCTGCTGCAATGTGTAGCACAAGGTGCTCTTCCCACATCCAGCGGGTCCCATGATCAAAACGCCATGGCGCACCATCTTCGTTCCTTTTGTTGGTGCTGCTACTGCTGCGTCTGCTACTTCTACTCGGCGTGAGGAGGTAGGCGAGCGGAGAATACGGCCCTTTAACCTCGCGTGCTTTCCCGCAACCAGAGCCGCGCGTTCAAGATTACCGCCTAAATATTATTTTGCCGGCTTCGGACTCCCAGTCCTCTCGTTCATCGCACGCCTGATACACTGTCATGCCGAACTCCCAAACGGCGCGTAAAGCGGCTTACCGCTGCCTCCCGACTCCAAATATCCCGTATGCATGACCTTCGCACCGAATTCCACTTCATGCGGGCTGAGAGCAGCTGCCGCTGCAATTCCTTTCTCTTGCTGCAGCAAGTGACTGCTGCTGCTGCCTCCGCAGTCCTCGCGCATGCAGAAACACTGAAGAACACGTCCTGTTGGAGGAGAGACTTAGACGAGTCGGCTGTCAGCAGAATGGTCCCTGACTTAGCAGGGGAAGAAGAAACTCGGAATTTCGATTGTTGCCAGAAGGCCTCCCGTTTCGAAGGCTTGTCAAGCCCCTGGAGGGCCCCATGCTCCCGACAGAACACAGGGCAGGAAGCAGCACAAAAAGCGGCGTAACAACGACACATGCACCTTCGTGTTACACAGTGCTTTTACCAGGGAGTTCGCCTATTCTCTGGGAGATTGAATTCGCCGTGGGCTCTGTTCATCTTTCCTCTGGTGGGTGTCCTCAGCGAGGGCCCCCCTTTCCCATCCGTTGAAACTGCTAGTCCTATGCCTGAATCCGCATTTCTTCTCACTCTCGTGTATTTGTACTCCGAAATCAGATTTCTAGACTTCTTTGGCTGCAGAAGCAGCCAAACAAATCCACCGTAGCAAGTCCAAGGCCTCCCCCTGCCCCCACAGGCTCGCCCCCTACCCTACAACCCAGGCCTGTGGTAGTTCCGCAGGTATTAGAGGCTGCGACAAAAACCAGAGTTCTTTTAACGAATGCTGCTGAATTCTAACTCGCTTAGAGCAGCGGCGGGGAGCTTTCCTGGCGGTCCAAGGGGCTGTAGCCTGCTTCTCACAAGTGCACGGGCTTCCCTGCGGGTGTCGCGACACCCATGCTATGTAGCAGAGCGAGCTCATCGCAAATCTCGAGGTTCCTAGACGCCTCTGCGTCGTGTGGCTGCTCGTGTGACTCTCAGCTTGTTCTTCTTCCTCGTTAGGGCCAATTCTCTGGAATTTTCTCCCAATGGCAGCCTCAGCATCAGACATCTTCCGTTGCGGGCGTGGCTCCTCACCCTGCTGGGGACCTCCGGAAACTCCAACCACCAGGGCAGATGAGGAGCAGCTGCAGGAGGCCTCTTTGCTGGAAGTTCTGCCCTTCGATCTGAACCTCAAATCCTCCCTCTTCTCCCAACAACTCTTCCGCTGCTGCGATTTCACCTTCAACAGCGTGAGCTTGCGTTGGGAAGGACGGCGTGTGTTGTGCAGCAGTTGGAGTTTAAGGTGTAGCCTTTGTAATGTGTATTGATTGGGGTGTAAGGTGTGGCCTTTGTAATGTGTATTGATTGGGGTGTAAGGTGTAGCCTTTGTAATGTGTATTGATTGGGGTGTAAGGTGTGGCCTTTGTAATGTGTATTGATTGGGGTGTAAGGTGTAGCCTTTGTAATGTGTATTAATTGGGGTGTAAGGTGTGGCCTTTGTAATGTGTATTAATTGGGGTGTAAGGTGTAGCCTTTGCAATGTGTATTAATTGGGGTGTAAGGTGTAGCCTTTGCAATGTGTATTGATTGGGGTGTAAGGTGTGGCCTTTGTAATGTGTATTGATTGGGGTGTAAGGTGTAGCCTTTGTAATGTGTATTAATTGGGGTGTAAGGTGTGGCCTTTGTAATGTGTATTAATTGG